TTAGAAATTAATATATTTAATTAATTTTCAGTGGCATGCCACATCAATAAAACTATTATTTAATTACGTTTTCTATAGATTAAGAGGCATTTTGATCAGTTTTAATAGATCATGGGGCATTTTTAAATAAAGTACGTAGTTCGAGGGGCATTTATGAAAATAATCTATTAAATCACCACTCTAATAATTGCCACGTCATCAAATTTGTTAAAAAACTAACATAATAAGTAAAGTTGATAACGTTTCAAAGTTCGAGAGATGGCAAACTAATTTTCAAATTCAAGAAGTAAATTGACAAATAGACTAAAGTTGGGGAGTAAAAATAAAATTTATCATTCTTATTAATCATATTTCTTCCCACCCCACCCCACCCACACACACACAAAAGAAAAAAAAAACAGAGAGAATCCGCAAAAAAAATACAATTTAATTGTTCAGACTTTTGTTAAAATTTTAATATAGGTGTAATTTGTGTTGGAACTTTGGGCTGGCGGGCCGGCCCGAGGCCCAAATTTTTTGGGTTCGGTGGGCAGGCCCAATTGCCGGTCCGTCCAAAGTTATAAATTCGGGCTCGGACAGCCCGAAAATGGACACCACGCCAGAGCCCGCCGCCATGTAAGCCGTCAATTGCCGTCCGCCGGAGCTTTTTTTGAATTTTTCCGGCCAAGCTTGATTTGCCCGAATGCTTAACTGTCCGAATTGCCTGAGAAACGGTCAAAATTTTGACCATTGGTGCCCGATCCGAAAATAAGCCCGAAAACCCGATTTTGCTCAAATGCCCGACCTGCCTGAAAACCCGTCAAACGGCTAGTTTTTTGACTGTTGCCACCCGAATCCGACCCGCCAAAACCCTAAAGTAGCCGTTGTACCTGATTCTTTTTGAAAAAAAAATCAATTTTTTAGCCAAAAAATTTCCCTATAAATATGTCGCGCCCCCAAACCGGGGTTAGTGATGTGGAGGCTTGTTTAGAAACTTAAACCTGTTTGAGAGAGTGATTAGCAAATAACGTTGCAAATAATTTAATTTTTCATATCCAAAACATCCAGGTATTTCCAAACGAGCCCTCTGCATTTAGGAGAAATTCAATTTCGAGGAAGGTGGTGGAATTTCCAACCAAACCAGTTAAAACCACGTCCCTGATATCAAGTCAGGAATTCCCATATGTGTTTAGCATACATGAATATAAACAAAAGTAAATGCGACATTAACCACAGTCTAATAATATTTAAGTTTACAATCCATAATCTTTTATACATGCCTTGAGATAAAAGATAAGAGGAAAGACAACTCTTCACTTTCCGAGGTCAAGTCCACGTCACCGGTAGTAGCTACCTACTCCGCACTACTCCTCGCGTCGCCTGGAGGGGTTTAATACATTTGAAAACAAGAAAGGTGAGCGAAAGGCCCAGTAGGATATAATTTTATAAAGCATTTAAAATAAAGGTACTCACGGTCCGAAGATATACACCCGGAACCGGTCATTCCTTTTTAGAAAAGGAAATACTCACATAGTAGAAAATATCTGTATAATGAAAGTGTGCAGCTCATCATACCACTAAACAAGAAGCAGTAAAAATGTCTGTCTAGAGAAAAGTGCAGAGCCATAATTTCACTAAACAAGAAGTGGATCCGTACGGGTTTCGGGACCTGCCCCCAATGATGCGATTCCCACATCCCGATCTCTGAGGCCACCATGCATTGTATCATTTCTTAAAGTATTTCATTTTAAGAAATGATACTCTTTAAAATCTCATTTCCAAAATCATTGGAAAACTTAATAGCATTCTCATGCTATTTCCTTAAAATCATTTTCTTTAAACATGTTTTGTTCTAAAATATTTTCATTGGCTAAAACCATTTAAAGTAAGGCTAACAAGGATATGGACAAGAATATCCTACCTTTTGCATATCAAACCTGTGGCTGTCTTCACGTAGCCCTAGCTCCGCTTGCCTTTGAGGCTCCAATTCCAATCGTGCCACTAACTTTCCCATCAAAATCAACAATTTAGAGTTTGACCTTTCTCATCAAACATTCTCGTTTAATTAGATGCAATTGTATCATATTAGTGTGTCATAGTTCAAAATCAATTTTCATAAATAATTTTTAATTCAAATCATGATTCTTTGACAACGGAGATTCATTCCGGAGAATCGAATGGAAAACAAGGATTCATGTGGCTAATCCACTCATTTTGAGTTCTCAAATGAGGTTAGGTCAATCCCACATCGAATTTCATGGTCAAAACAGGGTTTTAGGACTGTTTAGGGTCGATTTCAGTGGGAACCGGTTGACCGGTGACAAAGGAGTGTAACTCCACCGGTCGGCCGGTGGAGGGGTGACCGGTCGACCGGATCGGTCGACTAGTGGAAGGGTGACCGGTCGACCAGACTGGTCAATCGGTGGGGAAAAATCCCAGGGCCAGCCATGGCCGATTTGCGAGGAACAAAGCCAAAACCTGTAAATTTTTGGTTCGATTTCGACATATTCTCAAGGGAAATGTATATATCCAGTTTCAAATCAACAAATGGGGTCCAAAGAATCAAAAACCCCCAATTTCTATCAAGATTTCATCAAATCCCATTCGAAAATGAAATTTAAACAAAAAATCACCAAACTCGACTAAAACGAGTTCCACAAAGCTAAATCTGAAAATCTAAAGTAAGTTTCAAAGAGTTTTACCTTGATCCAAGCTTTGATGTTGAAAATCTCTTAAAAATCTATGTTTTTCTTCAAATCTGGTTCAAGAACGTTCTTGGGAGAGAGGGAAAACTTGAAAGAAAGAGAGAGGAAGAGATGGGCGAGAGAGAGAGAGAGAGAGAGAGAGAGCTCGGTGTGGGAGAGAGACTAAAAGATAGTGTGAGTGAGTGAGAGGATTACGAGAGAGGAGGGAAAAGAAAAGAAGGAAAGTAAAATGAGGAAAAGAAAATAATAAGAAAAGACAAATAAAAGTAAAGAGGGGTGAAATTGTAAATACTAAAAATAAATTTAAAAGTTCATGATTAATTAAGAAAATTAATTTAGGCACACTAATAAACCACAATTATCATAATTAAACAAGTTTAATTCCGGAAGGTGTTACAAAATACCCCTTATCTCCCACACATTTTTCTCACTCAAACTCTCTCAATCCCTCTCAATTTCTCTCAATCTCTCTCAATTTCTCTCAATTTCTCTCAATCTCTCAAATCTCTCTCATAATTTTTTTAAAAACTATCACATTATCATAAAGCTCTCTCTCTCTTAACTTAGCATTAGATATGCCTATAAGATGGAACTCAACTTATATAATGTTTCAACAATGCATCCCCTATAAGGATGCTATAACAAACTATATGTGTGCGAAAGTATGAGTAAGACATATAGACACATATGATTGGTAAATTGTTGAAGTTTTGTATCAATTTTTAGGTAGGTTTCATGAAATTACTCTAAAACTTAGTGGAACATATTACCCAACATCACTTTTAGCTTTAGGTAAACTTTTACAAATTAGTATTTTATTTAGCGAATATAGGGAGGACCCAATCTTAGGAGTTCCTATCCATTCTATGGAAAAGAAATTTATAAAATATTAGTCTAAGTTGCCTTTGTTGTATGGTTTAGGTACTATTTTTGACCATAGATTAAAATTAAAAGGTTTAGAAAACTTAGGTGAATTTTTAGACATTAATTGTTCGGACCAATATCCAATAATAAAGGAAAAAATATATTCGATCTATAGTAAATATGAGATTAGGTTTAGAAGCACAAACTTTAGAGTACATGAACCGCAACAAGAAGACGAAAACTCGCATTCAGTCTTGAATGTTTTCGGGTTGAAGAAGAAGAAGAAGACAACTCAAACAGAAGCTAGGAGTGGATCTTCATCAACAAGTGGCAGTGGCAGCGGCGGCGGCAGCTTCAACGAGCTTATGGTGTACCTTAGTGAAGACTTAGTAGTCGACGATACTAGAGAATCGTTTGACTTAGTTCAATGGTGGAGGACACTGACATTAACTTGGCCAATCCTAACTCGATTGACAATGAATATATTTTAGATCCCATTCTCCACTATTTCATCCGAACAAGCCTTCAGTACGACATGAAGAATACTTGAAGAACGCCGGAATGCATTGCAAAGGGACATTATTGAAGCCTTGGTCTGCATTAAGGATTGAGATCGGGCCGATCAACGTCTACAGGATACAATTTCGTCAGCAAGCTAAGAATGGATCGATGAATTTAATCGATTAACATTTAATTTTAAAGACGATCCTTCAGCTTCAAATTAAATTGTAAATTTGTAATTTGTAAATATGTATTTACTTTTGACATTGTAATTGTATAACTTTGTAAGTTTGTAAAATTTGTAATTCGTTACAAAATGATTGCACTCTTTTTCCTTGCCAAGTTTTTATCTCAATTGAGTTTTTCTTGGTAAGGTTTTTAACGAGACAATCATGAATTACGAATTTAAAAATTAATATACATGATTAATTTTTTAAATTGTGTTAATAATGTATGTTGAATGTTGATTTTAATTTTTATATAATTTTAACACAAAATAACTTAATAATTATAAAAATAAAAAAATATAAAAAAAATTCGGGCTATTCGGGCGGGCTCGGACAACCAAATATAAGCCCGCGGCCCGTTCAAGGGCATTTTCAGGCTCGGGTGGGCGGCCTGAATTTTTCAGGCGGGTCAGGTCGGGCTTCGAGTAAAAAATCAATATTTTCAGGCAGTCACGGACAGCCCGTCTAAAGTTTCAACACTAGGTGTAATAAGTAAAATGAAGTGGTTTAAGAATGTGTTTAAAAAGTAGAATTAGAAATGATTTAATTGTTAGATATTTTTTTTAAAATTTTAAAAGGGATGTTACAAGTAAAATGAGAGATAATTTAAGAATGTGTGTGAAACTAAAAAAAGCCCATTTTTTATTTTTATTTTTATTTTTTATTTTGCTCGAAAATCATATAAAACCCCAGTCCACAAGTCGCACTCATACGACACCCGCATCCTGTCTTCACAGTTCCTCATCCGCCTAGGGTTTCCGTCTCTCTGCTGCTCGCTAGTGCAATAATGGCCGACGAACCTCAGTACTCTTCCGGCACCGACACAGGCAGCAACAAGCGCAAGTACGAGGAGCAAACCACGCCGCCGTCTCGTCGGCCGACTGGCTTCTCCGCTCCCATCTCCTCCACATCTCCCGATTCGGCGCCTCCCTCGTACAACAGCGTCCCGCCTCCGGTTGACGAGATCCAGCTCGCCAAGCAGCGAGCGCAGGAGATCGCCGCTCGTTTGTTCAACAACGCCAGCGCCGGCGCAGGCGTCGCTCCTCCCCTCGACGCCAAGCGCCCTAGAGTTGAGAACGGCGGTGGCTTCGATTCGAGTGACAAGGGTTTTAGTTCTGCCCCTACTGGTTCGTCTTCTTCCTACTTCTCTATCTTCTCTCTGGGTTTAGCAGCCGTCTTCGCCTGTTCTTTAGGTTTTTTTTTTAATGTTTTTCACCGACCAGAATTGTCTTCTTTATTTACTGTTCTTCGAGTATAAATGCAAGTTTTGTGAGTCCTGCTGGTGAAAACAATGCAGATTCGAAGCCACACAATCCAATTTCTGCTCCTTCGTCGATACCAGTTTCGTATGGATTCCAGGGCTCGAGCAAAAAGATTGAGATTCCAAACGGCAGAGTTGGTGTGATTATAGGTAAAGGTGGAGAGACTATAAAGTATCTTCAGCTTCAATCTGGAGCCAAGATTCAAGTTACTCGGGATATGGATGCCGACCTCAATTCTCCGACGAGAATGGTGGAGCTCATGGGTACTCCAGAACAGATTGCCAAGGCTGAGCAGTTGATAACCGATGTTCTTGCTGGGGTAGCCTTTCTACTAAATTTTGATTTCAGTTTTTTCTTTCTTCAATAAAGTTTAGCTAAAGCATTATGATACTTGTAAGAAAAATCCCAGTTGCGTTGAGCTAATGACAGTAACACCGTACAACCTCAACATTTCCATGCATACACTTTGGTTGTTTTGTGTTTTTGTTTTGTTTATAATAAACTTGAGCGTATTTTTGCATTTATTAGCTCGTTTCAACTTTCAGGGATTAGGAATTACCAATATTTGTTGAAAGGCGTTTCTTTCTAGTCACGAATTTCGCTCATTTGTTGATGTTTTTGATAGGCTGAATCAGGGAGTCAAGGCATGCAAACCCGGAGGGTAGGTGGCCAATCTGGATCTGAGCAATTTGTCATGAAAATTCCAAATAATAAGGTATACAGAAGCTTCTATAAATTTGAACACACGACGTTGGTTTATATTAGGATGGCCTGTGACACGAGCAATTTCAGGTTGGTCTTGTCATTGGTAAAGGAGGAGAAACTATTAAAAATATGCAAGCTAGAACTGGAGCTCGTATTCAGGTACTTTGGAAAATTTTATTTAACGTCTTGCACCTCCATTGTTTTTTTTTAGTTGTTGAATTAATTCCATTGTTATGAATTTTGAAACTGGATATCGTTTCTATTTAGGTGATTCCTTTGCATCTGCCTCCTGGTGATGCATCAATTGAAAGGACATTGCAGATAGATGGAACCAGTGAACAAATTGAAACTGCAAAACAATTGGTTAATGAAGTCATCAGTGAGGTATGGATGATTTACGTTAGGTGCAGAATTTGTGTTAACTGTTGCCCTACTTTTAACAATTTTCTTCAGTTTCACTCCTGCAAGGGAAGAGCTGTAGTATTATGTTGAAATATTTTTCTATTGGCGCTTGATTAAGCTTATCTTTGGGTTTGTATTATGCTTTTTTAATGCTGATATATCACATATCTATCTACAGATGTGATTACTTGATTCTATTTATTGATATGGTTATGCTTTTTGATTGTTTGTCTAGATTATTATTATTATTATTATTATTTTACTTTGGGGAGGAATATGTTGCTTTTAGTTGCTTGCTAAAAGTAATGTTACGTCCATGTTCAATATTCATAGACTTGATATCCTAGTCTGTATCATAGTATTATTATTTAAACCGACATTTTGTTCTGGTAACTTTGAGTTGTGCATCTTATTTAGGTTTTGCACTGGTATTGCTTGTTTCATTTGTTGCAGGGCTTAACGGTTTTCATTTTGGTAAAGTATTTCGTATAGTTGTTTTAAGAACCTAATTTATATTATGGATATCCTTCCTTTATGTGCTGTTTGTGCTGACGATCTTATGCTGGATTTCTTCCATGGAATCCTTATTTATATTTTAAGGGGTTCCATTTTGCGCCCAATCAGAGCTCACTTAATGTTCATAAATTTTTTTTATGCATAATACCTCATGCTGTTAGAAGGCTAATATGTGTGGGTTTTTCCCCTCATCTTCCTTTCTTAATGAGGTTCAGTCCTCTAATTTACTCTTGTTATTGCAAGCTAACATGTATCCGGTATCTCATGATTCTCGAAAAGGGTTTGATAGATATAAATGCCCCTTTCCTTCATTGGTTTGGTGATATCTGGAAAGTGCTTTTTCTGCTGATCCTGTGGTCATGCGCAACATAGTTTGTTAGCAGCTTATATCAAAGGTTTCACATTGAGGGCTTCATATGCAGTTCTTACTCTCATTGTCTTATCACATTTCTCGTTTCAAATCTGATATTAGGAACCTGTATCCTGTGATCTCTTTTGATCTTTTGTAGATTTAGTTGTAGCTTTGTATGCATACTATCAAGCTGCAGGATCATAAGTATTTGACTTGCCAATTGCCATCCATTTTAATTATTTATATATCTGTTAAGTTCATGCAGACAAGGGTGTGTTTGAGAATTGGATGGAGGCTAACTTTGATGGTTTGTACTTTGAAGATACTTGAAGAGAGTGATTATTATTATCATTGAGTTACTCATGGCCATATACTAGTTTAAGTTTGCAAGTCAGGATTCGCATTTTTCTTTAAATTTTAGTTGTTTGAATTGCCAAGATTTTTTTGATGTTAAGGTCGTTTCAAAGATCCCTAAATTCCAGTTGTATATGTGAGTGCAATTCTAAAACCTTTCATAGTATGAGCGATTGATTACTGGAATTATAGTTTGCACAACCATCAACTATGCTTTTTAATGTGTATCATATGACTGATATTCTTATTGGGAACTATTGTAGGGTTAGTTTTTTTCAACCATTTGGTGACACCAACATGGAATACTTTGTGTTGGTGTTCCCTCAGCATCACTCTGGTATGCTTCTAAATCCCATTTTTTGGTATTTAGTAACGATATTGTGGAGAGAAGCTGCAAAATTTTTATTGGAATTTTAGGCTAATAGATTGAAGTTCTCTCTCAAATATTTTGATCCACTATTCTATGTTTCAAGTTAATGTGAAGTAATACTCCTTTTTAGAGAATATGGTCATTGCTGTAGTAGAGGCACAAGAATGCATATTTCTGATCTTGTAGTTTTTATTAGGATTTTGTGACAAGTCAAGCTTAGTTGTTTCTATACTTCCTATTGGCTAGAAGTTTATTACATATTTTAGCTATGAAGCTCTTGTTAAGTAGTATTTCGTATCCATATGTGCTTGTCTTTGTTAGCGGCTCTTAATTTTGTTTCTTGATACAACTATCCTCTTTTTCTTTCTTGTGGCGTCAAAATTAGTTGTTTCTATACTTTATATTGGGCTAGAAGTTTATTTACATGTGTTAGCTATGAAGCTTTTAAATAGTATTTCGTATCGAAATGTGCTTGTCATTGTTAGTGGCTCTTGATTTTCTTTCTCGATACAACTATCCTCTTTTTCTTTCTTGTGGCGTTTACATGTTCTCTTGTATCTATTTATTGTCAAAGAGTATGCTAAGTTTTGCATATTTAGTTAATCCTACTTATGGACAACGTTTAGTGAAGTTGAAGATGGTCTGGTTTATTCTTTAAGATGTTTATGAATATTATTAACTGCATAGGTTTCGTTTGTATTTTTTATGCTAAGCTAAAGATTCTGATGTCGTGATTGTGTTTCTCTTGTTACTTTTGGATGCTTCCTTGAACTTTTTTTTTTTTTTTATGGCTGTGTTGTCCTATAATTGGCTCTGCTACATGAGGTGTTATGGTCGTTATCTATTGTTCTGGTCTAGACATAATAAAGCTAAGATGCATAAGCTTCCATTTCTTTTTGGTTATAAATATGATCTATTCACACCAATTGTTCGCACAATAATTAATGGCCTGTTCTTGTATATGAACTCTTTACCTCTTGGCAAACTGGGGTTCACATGCCTGTATTTTCTATTATGTAAAAGCTTTCTATAGTATTGTGTTTTTGTACCCATTCGCTTCGAGTAGGGAGAGGGTGGGCTTCTGCTGGAGTAACTCCTTTAATTCAAGAACCAGGACGGTATGTAGGCGTTTATACCCTTCTATACAGTATGGAATTGGTTGATCACTGTATGTAAATATTTGCCTTTCTTGTGTTTTCTTGTTTTTTTGTATATGTATATAAGTTCATACTTTTGTGGTCTGTTTCTATATGCCCATTGGTCCCAGCATCATGGAAAGTTCCCCTTCGTTATTGTGGAAACAATTTTCTTGCAGAATCGTGTTAGAAATCCAGGAATGTCAGGAGGATATCCTCAGCAAGGTTATCAAGCCCGACCACCTACAAGCTGGGGCCCACCTGGGGCTCCTCCAACGCAACAACCTGGTTATGGTTATGGGCAGCCTGGTTCATACTCTGGTCCATCATCCCAGTATAATATGCCACAGCATTCTTATCCTGGATACCCTCCCCAGCCAACATCTGGTGGGTATCCCTCCAGCTGGGACCAGTCAACTGTACCACCAAGTCAGCAGACTTCTCATGGAGGTGGTTATGACTACTATAGTCAACAAGCGCCTACACACCAACAGCAAAACCCTGGGGCTGCAGCGCCAGCAGATAATACCGGTTACAATTATGGTCAGACTGGTGCCTCTGGCTATCAGCAGGGACAGGGTTATTCCCAAGATGGTTATGGCGGTTATAATGCACCTCAATCTGGATATGGTCAGCCACCTCAGTACGATCAGCAGCAAGGTTATTCGGCTGCAGGCTATGGTAATGTGAGCAACCCAACAGATGGACACACTTCCTCTTACGGTTCTCAAGGGGACTCAACCCAAGCACCTCCTTCCGTCCCACCCACTTCAGCGGGCCAACAAGGATACAATACCAGTCAGCCTAGTCCAAACCCGTCAAGTTATCCGCCTCAAGGAGCTAATCAGCCTGGTTATGGAGTGCCTCCAAATTCCCAGGCTGGTTATGGGAGCCAGCCAGCTGCTCAGCCTGGTTATGGCCACGGCTATGGAGCACAACAAGGTCAAAAGCCACCTCCAAACCCCCCAGTTTATGGCCAGGCGGCACAGTCACCCAGCACTCCGGGAGGCTACAGTCAGCAAGCTCCTCAGCAGCCGGGCTATCCCCATTCTCAGCCACCACCGGCTGGTTATGCTCAGCCAGATTCTGGTTCCCAGCGTGGTCCATCCAGCTATGGTGCGGCAACTTCTCAGCCTGGATATGGGGCTGCACCTTATGGTGCACCACCGGCTGGTCAACCAGGTTATGGACAGGGTCCACCGTATAATTCCTCTTATGGGAGTGGTTACTCTCAACCGCCTGTATACACTGCTGATGGAAATTCAGGTGGTAGCGGTCGCAGCGCTTATGATGGTCCACCAGCTTCACAGAGTTCTCAACAGAGTGGAGTTGCCAAAACATCCCCGCAGAGTTAAAGAAGTATCGTTGAATTTGGATCTTTACACATCTTGATATTTGGACGATTGGTCCACTGTATTGCTGTATTTTAACCAAACTAGAGTTAGGTTAGTAGTGTTTGAGATATTGGTGTATTTGGTATGGAATTCTGTTTTCTAGTATTTCAGGTATGTCTCAAGGTTAGTAGAGTGAGTTGGATTTTGCCTATCCGCTTTCTTCTTTATGGTGAAACGATCGCATACTCATTTCTCTTTAGCAGTAATGTTTCGAAAACTTTTTCTAGAATCATTATGAATGAACATTTTCGCCAATCAAAGCTAAAACATCTGGCGGGTATCCCTCCAGCCAATGCAGTTGAGTGAAACGGGATAAACCACTACCCCGTTGCAGAGTAACCTGTTTGATATATATATATATATATATATATATATTAATCCTAGCTGCTTGAATTGTGGGATTAAACAAGAAAATTAGTTTCTTCTAATTTTATAAATCCTCTCTTTTTCGGCTCTAGATTGGACTACCACGTAGATTTGGGAAAGAAGCATAGAACGAAAGTGAAATAAAAGAACAAGTGCAAAGTATTATATGTAAATTATGTTTACAAGTTTTAGATAAAGAATGAGATGAGTGTGGGTTGAAAATAAAAACTAATGATTTCCTCACGTGTAATTTTTAATAATATCTCTTGAAATAGAGCTCTTTTTTATTTATATCTTTTAATATTAGTCCATATATTTTTATATTTTTGATTAAAACTAGTTATAGAATAGAATTTTTTAAAAAGATTATTTTTAATAAATCCGGTATTTAAGCAAGTAAGTCTATAATTTTCTTTTCCCCTCATCCCCTCATGAGATTTGTATGGTAAAGCTTGAAAAGTACATTTTATTTTTTTATTTTTTAATACAATACGAGATTGAATATGTAACTTTTCTAAATTTTATTCCACTCAAACCTCTCAATACTTTATTAGTAGATTTTATTTAAATTGTTAATAAATAAATGGTAAAATTTAGCAATTTTCTTCTCAATCTATAATGATTAGCCCATTCTACAGACCATTGCGTAGTACCACTAACACCAGTTCCTGGGCCTTAAACATCGTCTTCAGTCATTTCTGATTGTTGACGTGGAAAGAATTTAGTTGTGGTGGTGAGAAGTTATACATGGACTTCACTGCAGAGTAACTAAACCCCGAATCACTTTGGTTAACCGGACGAGCTAGGCTGCTGCTGCATTCCTAGTGAATCCAAAAAACCCTACCACTCAAATCACTTCGCTCTTTCTCTCTTCTCGATCGACGCGATAAGAGTTCTTCAGGTCTGTACTATGTATGCTCAATCGCTAAAGATTTGCGCTTTATTGCTAAACCAGATTCTATGTCCTCCTTTTCTATTTTATTCCATTATTTTTCACCTTAATCTCGAAAATTCAAGCTCACCAGCTTCCGATTTCGCGTCTGCTTGAGATCCATTTCGCTTCAATGTTATTGCTTGTAATGGGGATTTTATAGGCCCCGTGCATGGTCTTCGATCTATTCAATTTTTCAATTCACTCTGGCTTTTGATCGAATTTCTTTTTTCTTTGGAAGTTTGGTTGGGAATGCAGCTTATTTTGAGGCGACGCAAAGATCTTTTCTTTGTTTCCAATTTAATGCGGGGATTTATTTTGTCTATTCGATTATAGATTAATACCAAGCCTCAAAATGTTTTCTTGCTTTAATGAATTTGGTCACATTTGCGAAATGTACGAGAATTTTCTGTGTATCTGATAGGAACCGTCATATATTTGGGTTTTCGTTTTTTCAGTTCTTTAGTTTCCATAGAGAGATTTAAAATAAAAAAAAATAAAAAAAAAAATCAAGGCTTAACCTGGCTGTGGGATAATTCAATTCTGTGGTGAAATTAATTTGATGAATGCCCTTTACATGCTTTAGTAGTTGCTTCTGAAGGAGGTTATGCTACTGAAGCTTGAAAATTTGATTTCAGTTTTCAGATGTTGAAATTGTCTTTAGAAGTATATTGTGTGTTGAATTAGAGATGAGAATTTGCTTTGATTGTTATTTATAAAGGTTGAAGCCTGTGTCGTTAACTTGAGTTGGGGAATTGATGGCGTCCAAGCTGGCTCAGTTGCAATCCAAGGCGACTCAGGCTTCGCAGTTTGTGGCAAAGCATGGAACTGCTTATTATAAGCAGCTTTTGGAGCAGAATAACCAGTACATCCAGGTGCCCCCAACTGTTGAGAAGTGCAATCTTTTGTCCAAACAATTGTTTTACACTCGTCTTGCCAGGTCCGTCGCTTCGGCTTCACTCCTTTTCCAGCATTTTTCCAAGGAAAAAAAAAAAAAAAACAAAAGGAAAGGGATATCAAAACGTTAATATAATACTAATGTTTCTTGCTTTTAGAAATGAAAAGAATGGCGTGAAAAATCTCTTACTCAACATGTTAGGATGGAAGTGTTTGTAAGCAAGGCCTAAACCTGTTGATTTTGGTTGTTCAACTGCAAATGCAAGGCTAATTGAACGATAATTTTATATTCTAGGCTGTTTCTTTTCAACGGCCATTTGTGTTATTCATTCAGTTACGCGCTGCTTTTTCGCGCACAAGAGTTTAAAGATGATATGCTCGTTGTTGCTGTGAATTGTGTCCGATATTTATCTTGTTTCTTTGTTCTGGTGTAGTATACCTGGACGTTATGAAGCGTTCTGGAAGGAGCTTGATTATGTGAAGCACCTTTGGAAGAACAGGCAGGAGCTGAAGGTGGAAGATGCTGGAATTGCAGCTCTGTTTGGGTTGGAATGCTTTGCCTGGTTTTGTGCTGGTGAAATTGTAGGTCGAGGATTCACTTTCACTGGCTACTATGTTTGAAGTGCTGATGAGTTGTGAAGAAATTGCAAATTGGAGTTGAACTAGTCGATCTCCTTGTCAGTTAATTTTTGTTATCGTGGAAATCTTTTTTTTTTTTTTTGGTCAATTCGTCACAACATATAAGCTTAAGTGTTATATCGAATCTCAAGTAGAGGAATACAATCGCCTAATAATTGATCGGCTTCCTTTTAGTATTTTGTTTCCGAGTTGTATCGGTATAAAACGCACTGGAAGGTTGGAATATTCTCCATTTTCGTTAATGCTATTGGCAAGTATAGTTCACCGTTCAATTACTCTGTTCGCAAAATGTTTATAACTCGTTCGATCAAACACTTTTCATGATAATTTTGAAAGGAAAAAAGAAAAAGAAACCCATCTCCTTCAAGTTGCTTTCTTTTCCGTTCAAAAACTTTGTTCAAGGAAGGGATGCCAGAAAAAGATGTTTCTGTTGTAGTATTCATTCGTACTCAGCAAGGCCTTATGGCGTTTTATAAAAACAACGAAAAGGGAAATTGTTGTAAATAGTTATTTGAAGTAAATATATTGTTTATGTAGTAAATCACGTAAATGATTCATGCGTAAAAATAACATGCGTGGCAAAAAAATCTTAATTTTTTTACGTAAAAAAAATCTTTTTAATGTTCATAAAAAGAAAATTTATTTTTAACAAAATATTTTTATTAGTCGTAAATAAATTATTTACGTGGTAAATAATTTATTTACTATGTAAACTATTATTTACTTTAACTAATTTAAAACTCTATTATTTACTACATTCTCTCAAAGAAAATTTTGTATAACCCTTTGGGGATACACCATACTCCCTATAAAAGAGTGGTCCCATTTGTTGGACCCATATAGGACCTGGCCTATTTTTTGTGAGAGGGTAAAGATTTAACCTCATCAGAATAAATAACATTTACTCGAAAGAGGAAAAATGAGTGAAATAGCGTAATTGGTGTAGTGATTAGTAATTTATATCATATTTTTCTTTAAAATAATAGATTATATCATAATTTAATATTTTAAGTTTTAAATATTATTAAAACTCTAAAAATACTTCTAAATCTCTTTTTCGGCCTCACTCATTTCCCTAAACATTATTTTTTTAAATAGTAAATTATAGCATATTTTTTAAAATATGTAGATTATAGTTAAGTCCACCATGGTCGGCACTGACGACCGGAGGCCAGCTCCAGCGGCAGACTCTGGAGGTCATTTCCAGACGGCCGACGATTGTTTTTCGACGACCTCTTAATAGTGTATTTACCGGTAAATATCATATTTATACAAAAATTAGGCCATCGACTTCGGCGACGACTTAACACTGTATTTACCGGTAAATACCATATGTACTAGTAAATAACTTATTTATCTGAAAAATCGATCATCAACTCCAGTGACCGTTTAACACTGTATTTACCGATAAATACAGTATTTACTAATAAATATAATATTTATCTAAAAATTTAGCCACCTACTCCGACGACCGTTTAACACTATATTTACCAGTAAATATCGTATTTACTAGTAAATATCATATTTATCTAAAGATCCGACTACCGACTCCGGTGACCGTTAAACACTGTATTTACCGGCCAATATCGCAGAGTCCTAATTGTAACTTGTAAAGTACTTAGTACTTACAGGTAAATACAAAATAAAATCCCAAAAACTATCAAATCAAACCCTATCCACAACCAAACCCTAACACGAAAATCATATACCCCTATTGGCCGCCACCAAACCTACCGTCGGCACCAACGACCACCCCAACAACATCGCCCCCGAAACCCTACACGGCATAGGAAACAAATCTTAGACAAACCCAGACAAAACAAATTGCAAAACAAAATCATGAGGAACACTGTTGTCATCAAATCAAGGGCAAGATCTCTGACGGCTACGAGCCATTCTCGAAAAGAGAGACAGAGAGAAAGATAATATGGAGACGGATGAGAATTGCTCTAACGAGTTGCTCACGCAGACAACCAGAGCTGCTTCAAGGAGAGAGAGTGTGAGAGAGATAAGATGTCGGTCTAACCGCTGCCGGAGAAGATGATCAGCGTCACAACTCATGAATCAACGCTGGAGACGAAGACTGACTTCCACATACCGCGATTTGGCCAGATTTGTTCATGATCTGGTTGGGTTTGATCGGAGAAAAAGATGTGGGAATCACAAAGAGTCACCCATGCTAGAGAGCTTCGACTTGGGATCGGGAAGAGAGAGAACATGATCTAAGAGAGAAGATGAAGAGATAAAGAGAGTGAGAGGTGAACGACGACATAGAGATGAGAGAGAACAATAAAAAATAAGGGTAATTTTAGAAAAAGAACATTTCATTTCAAAATTAAAATTTAGATATGCTATAATTTACTATATGTTTTTAAAAATATGTTGTTTTCTTCATTAGTATATATAAATATGCTATTTAGTGCATTTCCCCTCTAAAAATAAACCATAATATACTCCAAAAAAAAAAAAAGAAGGATGAAAATATTACATCTGAACACCTATATTATGGGGGTTTTTTTTTTTTAACAATTTATTTGATGTTTATTTAAAAATTACATCCTCGGTGTTTAATTTCATTAAATATATACATTCAAATTACATTTAATATAAAAATGCATATTATTTTTCAATCAACACTTGATTTTGACCCAAAAAAGCTTTTTAATTCCTAAAATACCCTAATATCTAGTTTGAGGATATAACCAATTTTTATTGGTTCTTTTCCACAATTTGAAGTAGGATGATTTGAGTAAAGACATTGTATTGAGTTAAAAGTTAAATTTAAATTTGAGTTGTAAATTAAGTTTAATTTGTCATTTGAGTTAAGGTTTGAATTTAGAAGCTAATTTGAGTTTGTATTTGATCACTCTAATACTTGAGTTGTGAACATTAAAAAGTGAAGGGGATATAATTTTTTTTATAAAATTTATTATTTAAGTTTGAGAAAATAATTTAGAACTCGTTTATTTTATTAATTCAAACTCAAATTATTAATTTTACTACAATACTTTTTTCTCATAAAAAGTTACGGATTATTTTTATAAATATCTCTCAAATTATATATTTTATTTTAAAATGTCCCCAATTTTTTAAAACATGTCAAAACACCAATTGATATATAGAAAATCTCTCTCCACTTCTCATTTGAATGAAAAATGCATACACACAGTTAAAATGAGCATTTAAAAGTTAATTAAAGATATTTAACTAATAAAAATGATAAATATTAAATATTAAATAAAATAAAATGATTAAGAATAATAATCACTTAATCAGGATCTAAAAATTAAACAATAACATATGAAATTATTAAAAATAAAAAATATGCAGATGGAGATTCAGAGGCAAACCAAAAAAACACCCTCACGATCACCATGTCCTTCTCTACCACCTTCTGAATCTTCTTAACTAAACCTGCCCTCTCATGGCCCTAACATTACTGAACACATATCACCTCCAATCTTCCTCCACATTCTTCACAACCCTAACATAATCTTCAAAACTTGGAACCCCATCGGAGCACTCTGTCGAGTGCCGCCAAAACGACGACGTAACAGAGGGATTTTCCGCTGAAAATCCTCGACCCAAAAACGTTTTGGGGAATGGGTCAGCCGGATTTTGGCCGGAATCAGGCGGAGCAATGTCGGGGAGACCAGATTAGAGGAGAATTGGGGGCGGAGGAGCCGGTTATTTTACAGATCTGAGTATTTTATTTTAAATTTGAGCTTTTGGGTTTATCTCTAAAGGAAGGAAACTTGTTTCCCGATCTTGGTGGTGTTGTTGTTGTTGTTTTCTCTGTCCTTCGATTTTGCGGCTGAAAAGGTCTATGAGATGGCTATGCTGACGAAGGGGAGATCGAGAAGCTTTCCTACTTCTTGTGAGGAGAGTCTGATTGATGGAATGTGGTGCTACTGAAGGAAAAAGTGGGAAATTATCAAGATTAGAGGAAATTATAGTGGAAATTTGTTGGGTTGTCTAGGTTTTTTTGCTCTGAAAGTAATTGCTTTTTGTTGGGATTTTTCGTAGGAGTTTGGGGTTGCCATTGATGAACTGATGGAGATGAATTTTTTCTTCTTTTCATTAGTGTATTTGAATTAATATTTCTAATTGGTTTTTATTAGTTATGTTATCTTCTATTAACTTTTAATTTTCATTTTCTATTGCCACGTGTGCATTTTCAGTTCAAATGATACTTGGAAATGAGCGGATGGGGTAATTTAAGGTTGCGTTCTTTTCGATAACTCCAAATTCAAGATTGGAGTTAAAAAAGTGAGTTTAATTGGAATTATGTTTGAAATTTAAATTGTGTGTTCACTTAGGTCCCGTGCACTTCGCTGATTCGAGTTTAGAATTCGAGTTTTTCTACAGTAAAAAGCTCTCACAAACAATCACATCTAATTTTTTTGCTACAGTAAAAAGCTCTCACATAAAATCACATCTCAACTCAAATTCTAAACTCGAATCAGCGAAGTGAACGAGGCCTTAGATGATTTGTGAGATGTGAACTTGAGTTTTATGTTCACTTTGACAAAAATATAACTCCAAAATTTTGCAAGTATTGACATGGATTTTTTGACTACACATTAATACACCTATATACATAAATAACAGAAACGTCCATAAGTTCATTACAACGTATTGTAAAATAAATACGGTAGTCGAAATTGCGGAACAAATATGTAACTATCGATTGCGATATGCTTCCAATGCCGCCCACATGCTAGCTGCCATCTCGTCCCTCAAAATATTCATTTGTCTACGATGTGCGGAGTTCTGATTTTGTTCTGTTCCGCGATCATGATTGTGATTCTGATTAACATCTTGATCTGCATTCTCTGGATCAATTTCAAAAACTGAAACTCCGTCTCGTGTGTACTGGTTCAGTAGCTCATCGTTATTGTTGTACATATGTATGAAATTGTGAAGCACAGCACAAGCAATAGGAATTTGTATCTGTTTCTCTATTGGGTAATTATTTATGCACTTGAGTATGCGGAACCTTGCTTTCCAAACACCAAAAGTGCGCTCAATAGCATTTCTTAGGGACGAATGCGTGTAATTGAACAACTCACGCTGAGTTCGAGGACGCCCACGTCTTGCCCTATACTCTTGAAGGTGATATGTGCTCCCCCGGTACGGCGCCAAGAAACAATCGTTGTTCGCGTAGCCAGAGTCTACAAGGTAGTATTTACCTGCATTCGCCATTACAAAGCAATAATTAAGTACGGCCAACTCTTTAGTGAAGTCAAGCAACCAACGATGATGCTTGTTTATCAACATATATAGCAAGGATTGGGATTGACATACCGGGCGGTGGAGTTGGGAACTTTTTTTCTCGTACCCCCACTACGGATGAAAGAACGCGCGCATCATGTGCCGATCCCTCCCATCCAGCTAATATGTAGGTAAACTTCATGTCAAATGAACATACCCCTAACACATTTTGGGAGTAAAAACCCTTCCTATTCCTCCATACTTCGGGGTTACCTGATGGTGGAACACAAGGGACGTGAGTCCCGTCGAGAGCTCCAACACAATTCTGTAATCAATTAAGAACAACGAGGTTACCAATCTTATAATGTTAGTCGCTGACGATATGATATATGAGTAATGACATACCTTAAACCATGGCAAATACTTGCTTCCACTCGCAGCAATGATTGGATCAATAATGTTAAAATTCGGGGGTGTTATGAAATCATGCCGCAGGTTATATATTGCCGCCAATACAGCCTCGAAGTATTTGGAAATTGTGGATCCAGAATGCTGCCATTGATCCTGCGATTCCCTATTGCTTTGGCTTTGGGACACAATGTATAGAAAGATAAAAAGCTGCTCGTCCACGTTCATATTCCTAGTGGGTCTCAGATATCCCTTAAGTTCTAAGAGTGAACTCAGTCGCTTAAAACAGTCACTGCCCATCCTAATCTTATTCCGAATTACGTCCTCATGACCATCAAGCAAGTAATCAACACGCATAATACCTGTGAACGCGGAGGTGTGCTTAGGTTGAGGCGGGGGTCTCTCAACGTAGGTTTGGTAATACCAGAGCATAGCCGCGACACCTGCTGTCTCATAGTCATCATCTGAGTCATCGTCTATTGTGTTGTCAGGCGACGCGTTCGAAGGCCCTCCGTTCCACATTACAACCTGTTCGCCAAATCTGCTATAGTAGAAGTCACAAGTACAACATAGTTAATGTTGAAATTGTGCAATAATGTAATGGCAAAGTATAAGAGTCACTACCAAGTAAAGTCATTAATGCAAATTGCATCATGTCATCAGAACACTAATTGAAAGAGAAAGCAAACGAAGTAATAGTTTCGAAGTACAACACAACTCAATAAATGATTACAACATAGTTAAACGCCTCATAATTAAGAAAATTGTCCGACACTGTCTAAGCCTCATAAATAAGAAACCTCATAAATAAAAAGTCTCGTAAACAAAGAGCCTCATAATTAAAAAGCCTAACAAGTAGCTACTCCTCATTGTTTCCTCCACCAAAATGACCAGAGTTAGGTGGAAAACTAGGCATGTAATAGGGTGGTGGACATTGAAAGTTAGGGGGATGGGGAGTAACATTTGGGGTCATGTTTTGGATTGGTGGGTGTTGTGGTTGCATGTGGTGAGAGGGTTGAGAGAAACTGGGTACTTGTGGTTGGCCAAAGGTAGGAGGTTGTTGGCCATAGATTGGCGGTTGTTGGTAAAAGTTGGGTGTCGGCATGAAGTTTTGATATATAGGGGGCTGCATGAAGTTGGAAGCCATGGATGGAGGGGGCATGGTGCAAGATTGGGTAGATTGACTCGTTTTAGAGGTAACGGTTCTCATCACGAAACCCAACCCTTTCGTCTCTGTCATATCCAAAAAGAGTTGCTGCATGTGCGGAAACCACCCAATGGCCTCTAAGAATATTATGACAGTGTCATCTTCAAGATCCATTTCCTTCACAATCGTTGTACACTGCCGCAGAGTGGTATGGGTCGCAGGGTTCTGAGAAGCGCTGGAACTGGTAGCCCTGCTACTATTCTTACTTTCTATAGAGGCTACAAGTCGTCCAAGTAGTGCCCTTGCTTCTGGATCGCCAACCGGACGTTTCTGACTGCGTCCAGATTTCTTACCAATTGCCTTAGAGGTGGATGCAACATTCAAGCCCTTCCTAGTACTGTTCAACCCAGCTCGCATCGTGGTCACAAAAACGTCATCGCTGCCTAACGAATGCGACGTCGCCCCCCCTTCACCTTCTTCAGCCGGGATTGGAGTTGTGTCTACGTGCGCGGTGCTGGGATTTTCCAATCCCACCGTAAATTCACCACATGCACGGGTACTACCAAAGGCCTCGTAGTACAAGTCAAAATTTTTAAGGGGATGCTTCTTCGCAGCATTAGCCCACTTCTTGTTCTGTGTGAAAAATAACATCCACATAAGCTAACGCACGTTGAACACATGTTCTAACTGATGATAAATAATTTGGGAAAGGAAAACAAACAACTGGTGATTACCTTAGCAAAATCTTCCCAATACTCGTCCGTACAAGTCACTGCGCCTGTCACAGGATCCCAACCAAGGCCTGTGGTTGTACGTAGTATAACCTCCTTATCAAACTTGCCTTTTAGACGCACTCGCATCTGTTGAACCTTGGCCGCCGTAACTGGATCCTTAAAATGTTTTTGTAGCTTAGTAGCCCAATCTTCCCAATTTTTCTGGACCGGTTTCCGACCATGGTAGTTACGGTTATACTCTGCTAGGAGTTGCAACAACTCCTCCTTCTGCTTTTGATTCCAATGAAGAGTCGTGTCCTCATCATTGCCCCCTCTTGGCATCTACCACCACACACCAAAAGCATCATCCCGCACAAATAAGAAGCCACAAACAAAAACACGTACGCACAATTGTATATAACTATAAACATATATATATATATATATATATATAAACACAAGGGAAGTAAAAGAAAACAAAACAGACAATGGACCAAAGCCAAGGACAACACGATTTGGGACTAAACTGTGAACAACCAAGTCCGAATTTTGTGGCTATTTAACTTATTAGTAAATAAAGCAATGGGGTTGTTGGCTTGGTTACTGGATCTAGCAAATGTACTTCCTCCGGTGATATAATGGTGATTATAGGCTGTCATGAGTGTGCCACAACGAAGCGAGTTTTTTATTTTATTTTATTTTTATTTATTATTTTTTATTGCTATCTTTGATGTATGTACTATGTAGTACTAACTGAACCTTGTAAATGGCCCTATAATACTCAGTACCTAACATGGTAACCGGCTTGTTTGTAATTCTTGTAGTGTCTGTGCAGACTGTCATTTACCCGGCACTCTTTGTATGTGGACCGACTGCACCACATGCTTTGAGAGCTGTGCAAGTATGGCAGGTGAATGTGGTTGCCTAGGAGGTGCTGGTGAAGCAGGGCTACCATTGCTGTTTATAATGGCATTGATTGTGCTGGGACTTTTTACTTTAATTGGAATATTTTATAGTGTCTTGGTGGCTACAATGGTCGGACAACGAATTTGACAACGGCATTATCACATACTTGCAAAAAGGATGCTAACAAAAGTGAGTCAGGGTGATTTTATTCCATCCTAGTTTATTTATTGGCTGCAATAGTATAAATTTCTTTTGCCATGTATATCAAGTTCAGCCCAGAAATGATGCTCAGTAGCTCTTTAAACCTCCAAACCACTAAGATCTTATCTCGACTTAGTCGACTGCGTACCTTTAGTAGAATTTAAATTTTTGCATAGCCAACTAATTTACGGAGGAATACTTTAGACAAAAGAATAGCCTATAAAACGGGATAGCAAAATTTAGGACTGAATTGAATGTCTTGGCATTACAAGAAATGATTCTTTATCTTGAATCGAAATTATGGTACAGTACTTCTACAAAATTACATTACCAAAAACCACATGAATATTGAATCGAAATTAGACATCAACAATAGTGGGGCAGGGGTACGATTAAGCCCCCAGCACCAAAGTAATCCTCACATTGAAGAAACTAATTACTTAACAAAAAACATTTATTATATGTATTTTATCCTATCAAGTATCAAGGAGGTAAATCATTGATACTTTTATTACTGTTTTATCCAATCAGTGTCGGAGCCATAATTTTTTTTTGAGGGGGGCATGCATGAAACAAAAAAATGGAGCTAAACTACAACACAATAGTCTTTTTACCTTCATTTATCTCTTTGTATCTTTGACTTATTAGAAATAAGAGTACTTAAAAGAATTAAAACTTAGAGTAAAACTGAAATTTTTAATAAAAGCAGCCAAGTTCGCCGACAGTAACGAAGACGGGAAGACCGGTACCGGAGACAACTCCTACGCACTCAGAAACGACGTTGCACACTACATCGACTCAACAATACTGCCAGTGGACTGTAGGACTTCACGCTCGGCGGACCAATTTTGTCCGATTTGAAAATTGAAGAAGATGGAAAATAGGGTTTCGTGTTGGGCGCACAATCAGGAAATGGGTGAGTATTGAGGGATTTATGGGGGCACGAGGAAGGAGGAACTCACGCGGCCATCGATTTGCACAAACCCACTGGATCAAAATAGCATCGCAGACTGCACGCGGCCTTGGGGTTCACGGAGGCGCAACTGTAGCAGATGGGAGATGAGGGAAGCGAAGGGCGAGAACCGGAGAGGGGCCCTTTCTCGTGAGCCAAGCAGCAAACCTTGGAAACGACAATGAATGGCAAGCAACGGTAACAAGGCATGTGAAAAGCAGGTATGCGTAGAGAATCTGCACAGTAGAAGACAGACTCGAGTTAAAGGAATATCAGGGGGTAGTTGATGTTTTATTACTCGAGTTCAAACTCGAGTTTTGAGTCTGAGTTTGAATTACCGAACGTGATATTAGGCTCAAAATTCAATCTGAATTAGGCTAACTCGAGTTTTGTGTGCCAAACGAACGCACCCTAAAACAGATCAACGAGTGTTTTAAACTATTTTAAAAAATTAAAGGCATTTTAAGGCCGTTTAGTTCGTTGATTTGAATTTTTAATTCGAATTGAAATGTGACTTTATATGAGAGTTTTTTACTGTAATAAAAAAATTAGATGTGATTGTTTGTGAGAACTTTTTACTGTAGAAAAACTCAAATTTTAAACTCAATCAGCGAAATGAACGGAGCTAGTATTTTATGAAAATAATCCAAAAGTTATTTCAAACTTGAATAAAAAATCATGATTTTATACCTTGGCCTTGTTATTTAACTGTAGCACAAAGTGAAGTGAGTTGAAAGGGGAGGTGGTACTTGAAAACTAGTACAAAATTTGAATTAAGGGGGTGTTTAGTGGAGGGATTCGTTCTTTGATTCGAATTATAATTCGTGGTTCGTTACAGCATTTTCTCTCATAAAAAATACACGTAAATTAAAAATGGTTTGAATCATATGGTTTGAATCCTCCAACTAAACGTTTGTTTTGAGTTTCACTCCACCAAACAGCGACTTGAACTTTTAACTTGAGTCCAACTTTTCTCGAGTTTAGGGGAGAAACGAACACTTCTTCAAACTCTCCTTCCCATTTAAATTGGCCTGATTTATCGACATTTTCAAATTATGGAAGAGTGGAAAACTCAAGAAAAATCTTCGTCGTTGCTGAACTCTTTTGAATTGAGATCCATTCGAGTTTCGCTTTGTTCATTCTTCCATCTGAATTGTGTGAGTGCCGAACTCCTTGGGATTGACGTTGCTTGTGCGAATTAGTGACTGCTTCTTCAAATCGGGGTAGGTGAGTGCCTTTTTTTAACGTTTTTATGTCTGTCGAAATCGTGTTTCATATTGTTTGAAATTATTTATTTTGGTGGATTGATCTATATGGTGTTGATGATGCTAAATTTTTAGTCTGTTTTCCACAAAAGAAAATTCCACATCTATTGAGACCTTTCTGCACATACTGTTTGATTATTTTCCTAAAAGGCATGAAATTTTGCAGATGAAATCCCCTGTCCCTCTCTCTCGGTTCAAAACGTCGTGTTTCATATTGGTTGAAATTATTTATTTTGGTGGATTGATCTATATGGTGTTGATGATGCTAAATTTTTAGTCTGTTTTCCACAAAAGAAAATTCCACTATATATTGAGACCTTTCTGCACACATACTGTTTGATTATTTTCCTAAAAGGCATGAAATTTTGCAGATGAAATCCCCTTTCCCTCTCTCTCGGTTCAAAACGGGGAAGTTTTGCCGGAGAAGTGGGATTCGGCGACCGGTGTGGGCAGTTTTCATAAGTCGATGTCGGCCGGAACTCCGACCATATGCTTCGCTGAATCATGGACGTTGGAACTCCCCCTGCTGCCGTTGTCGCCGGCGTGATCCCATCTCCGTTGAAGCCCCTTCGCTATTTGGGATTCTCGAAGCAGATCAAGTGTGCTCGTCTGTTGGATCCAATTTGGTAAACAATTTTCCCCTTGAATTTTTTTTACTTACATGCCGTTATTGCTAGACCTGGTGGTTCTCCGCCGTTGGAGATCTTGCTCGTGACTCTGTTGCCATTATACATAATTTTATGTCGTTTTGCATTTCCGCCCGTATAGCTTCTGTCGTTCTGGAATGCTATCAACTGCATGTCGTTTTCCACTTTTCTACTTACATGCTGATGTCGCTTTCAGTCATTATGTTAAATTTGTTTCATAAAATCTGAACTGCAGTCTTCATGAACACTCTTTGCCTAGAATACGATCAAGGCAACACCAAAATGCGTTTTGCGTTTCTTAAAATAGTGTTTATTTATTTATTTTTTTTGTTCCCTCAAGCTACTCAAAACTATATCTATTTGGCAATAAGGATATGTCCTCATGAGGTTAATTTGGTAAATTTACATATCAAAATGAGAGTTGACCTAAAAAAAATGTATGAATTTATATATTTAATGTGACTTGGAGGTATACATTTGAAGAGGTTAAAAATTGAGAGTATACTTTCTGAATAAATACAAAACACAGGGTATAAAAATGCAAATAATTCCTAGTATTAATGTATGAAAAGCATAAGTAATAGTTCACCAGTTGTCATTACACTCGTAGCAAAATGCCAATCTGCCTCTAAATGCTAGCCTCATATTCTAGCCAAAAACAATCCCTTTTGTATACTCCAAAAGAGATGCTCATGATAAAATCCTTGATTCGTGTAGCAAAGCCACTACAAGGATCACCAAATACACAATTCTGACAAAGACCTAAACACAAAACTTGGGGCCTGTTCGGTTGCTGTAACTCACTCGAGAAAGGCCCACTCGAGTGCTCGACTTGGCCCAAGTTTGCGTTCGGCATTTGAAGACTCGAAACCAAACTCGAAAATTAATTCGAGTTACCTACCCTTTCTCGAGTTCATCCTCCCCCTGCTACTCGAGTTAACTTCTCTACACTTTAACAGTGCAGATTCCTGACCCTCGCCTGAGAGATTCGTTCACCCTGTGTTGCCTGCTGAAGCTTGCTCTCTTTGAGGTCTTCTTTCTACACTGACATTTCACGTGTTTCTCCTGTTAGCGAGATTCCAGATTTCAGAAATCATTTGACCATAGATGCAAGGGTCTGCTCCTTCAATGTTATAACCATTCGATCCCATGGCCACAATTCATTGCATAGCTATTTTCCCCCAATCTCAGATTTCGAAACCCAAGCCCACAATTTTGGACCCGCATCTGCATCTTTTGGGCCCCCCTTCAAAACAGGGAACTTTGTGCGGAACCGATCGGTTCGGCGACCTCGGTGGGCAACCCTCGTAGTTCGATGTAGAAGGAGGAGCTCGCTGCCTATTGCTCGCCCTTGGCGACGTTATTGTTGCTCCTTCCCTTGCCATTGTCATCGCCGGTACCTCAAACACTCTAACCCTTCCTCGCGTTTTGGGAATCTCCAGGCGGATTAGATTTGCTCCTCCGTAGGCTCAAATTCGGTAACTCTGGAAACTGATCCTTGGATTAACTTTAGCCTTGTGTTGTGATATTGTGTGATTTATCATGCAGACAATGTGAAATTTACCTACTATATCTGTGCCCAATTTAGCTGCCTCATTTGGTTCTATTGTGGTATTTAGCAAATCATCTTCAATACATGAATTAGTGAACGTTTTGTGTAAGAATGTCTATTGCAAGGCTTTTTTGGTTTCTCCATTACCATTAGTGTTTGAAGATATACTAGTAAAGGTTGATTAGTAGATTGTGTGTTTTAAATGTGTGGACCTTTAGAAAATTGATATTATTTTGATGTTAAGTTGTTGTGTACATAGTTAAAAGCAAAAAAGTTGTTTTGTACATAGTTTAAAAGATAATTGGCCCACAGGTGACCTTATATATAAATAATAATCATAATAATCATCTTATTTTGATTGATCTTTTCATTTGAGCACTGAAATCTAATGTTGCTATCTCTTGCCAGAGAATGTGAGTTTATTTGTTAATGTTTTGGTTGCATTTTGTGTTTGATTTAGGTGAAAGTACTGCTATGTGATAGTTCAATTTTGATTGCACTTTCATGTACATATACACTGTGGCTATGATGATTAATTTGTGTATAATGGCCTAGTTCCTTATGTCGAGTGATATTCAAAGGTCTGACGATTATGGGTTGCCAGTTTATACCATTACTCTTGTCATTTTGTTATTTTGCTCGGTTGAGAACTCTTGTTTGGTAAGTTTGCTTTACTTCACACTAATGGCCATCCCGACCAATATGCCGAAGTTAGCTAAACCTTGGTAGCATACTTGTCATTGCCTATGATAACGCTCCATACGTGGAACCTTAAGGCCATTACACATTCTTGACATCACTTGTATATATGCCCGCTTATTGTATGAAATTTAAATGCTATGATTAATATATGTTTATTGGCCTAGTTCCTTATGTCGAGTAATATTCAATGGTGTGACAATTAGTGGTTGCCGGTTTATGCAAAAACTCTTGGCATATTGGTGTTTAAGTTATGTTCACAAGTCTTGCTTACTACATTTGGTGTATTTAAAGAGTAGTGCCAATTTACCATTATGCTAAAGTGATGTTATACTTTAGTAGCTTAGTTGTCATAGCCTAGGATAACGCTCCATACAGGGACGATGAGGGCCATTACACATTTTTGAGCCTACTAACAAAAAATGCGTGCTTATAAATTAAATTTCATATGCTGTGTACATATGTATTGCTGTCACATTGGATTTATTAATACGTAGATGGCCAGAAGGAGAGATAGAGATGTAAATTGGAGCCCAGAAACAGTTGCTTAGGCGTCTGGGTGAATTCAATTTGTTGAACTCGGCTAGTACTGCACCAAACCGAGACAAATACACACAATGGGCAACCGAGCTAAGTAACTATTTTAGCGTCCCACTTAGTTGGGATAAAGTTAAACAAAAAGCTGGTCGGTTGAAAAAAACTTTCGACGCAGAGTTCCTACTACGGAATGCTACTGGCCTTGGTTGGGATCCAATTGAGAAGAAACCTATCTGCACCAAAGAATATTGGCAACAATTTATCATTGTAAGTTCATTGCATGATATAATTTATAGTTGTAGGCTTCATTTTGTTCTTTTATTTAATGCTGCCCCGTGCATTGATGTTATGTTTTGTTACTGGATATGCAGAGCCATCCCGAGGTTGAAAAGGCAAGGAGAAAGCCCTTGGTGGATTATGATTTGTATTATTGCGCGTTCGCGAATACACGTTCTATTGGTCCACTTGAGTACGGGCAAGAAGAAACCCCTATAAGTCCACCTCATCCCCCAGAACATATTCAGGGCAACCCCATTGACATTGAAGGAGGTCCGGCCCTGTTCAATGATACGGGCGATACTTCATTTACAAATATGAGGCAAGGTTTAAACTGTAGCCGAATACCACGTGTTGCCTCAGAGTCCTGATTAGTTCGTAAACGGTCAAGTAGAAACAATCATAAACGCTCACCAACCTTCATGGAGCATGCTGTGGATCGCCTTGTATCATTTATTGAAACAAGTGCTCACAGCCGAGGTAGAAGTTCCGGCACGACAACCTCGGTCAAAAATGAAACCATTGAGGACAAATGCATTGATTTACTTGGAGAATTGGAAATACCGCAGGATCAATATCTATTCATGTTCAACCTCCTGATATCCCACACTAGACTTCAGCGGCCATTCTTGCGTATGAAAGATCACCACCGGTTGGCGTGGATTCAACAAACAATAGAGCAACATTTAAATCAGCAAGCCCCTCCTCCACCACCACAGCAAATGCAAGGTCCGCTGCAGTTTCAGGCTAACACCCCTCTAAACCCGCCTTCTGCTCACACCTTCCACCCAACTAACCTGTACTTCCAGCCGACCACTTTTAATTTTCAACCATACATTCCCACAAACTTTCCACCCTTTTCCGGGCAACATGGGGGAGATAGTAGTGGCCATCCAAACTAGTCAAGGCAAATCTCTTCAATCCGCTGGGATTAATATGATTTTATTGTCTGCCTCTTGCTGGTTTTTTATTTAGTTCGTTATTGTTGATCTGCTTCTAAGATATGAACATTGCTATTGTTATTTGTTTTATAGGCAATTTTCTGCCTTTTGGTCCAATGTTGGTTGATTTGAGGACTGCAGAATTGTTGTGTCACAGAATTGTTGCTAAATGCTAGCCTCATATTCCAGCCAAAAACAATCCCTTTTGTATACTCCAAATGAGATGCTCATGATAAAATCCTTGATTCGTGTAGCAAAGCCACTACAAGGATCACCAAATACACAATTCTGACAAAGACCTAAACACAACTTGGCATATCGGAATACATATCCTCTTCTCAGTATGGTTTTGTCTTTTATTCTATAATATAATCGCAGCTATGTGAAATATTCGGTTATACCATATTTGTATTTCTTCAACAGAGGTAATTCCTGAACGCCGAAATCATTCTTGGCGAAAAAAGCAAAAGAAATGCAAGGATGGAACCAAAGAACAGCTTAATGAAATCTCGCACTGGATCATGATCAACTACTTCGGAGGTACTCAATGAGGTTGACATGGCTCTTGCTAATGGCAGGGCTTCAATTACTGCATCCGCCAGATCTGTGATAAAGGAAGAGGTACAACCAAGGGCAGGGACTCGTCCCCAATTCTCAATTCCAGATTCCAGAGCCAAGTGCTTATATTCCATATCTATCTCTTCAAGGGTTTCAATGTGCTCACTGACAAAGCTGGATATCAAGAGGAATTACAGATTAACCAATAACCATCGCTAATAATATGAAAATATGAACAGATTAACATACAAAGGAATTACATGCCACGTAAAAGTAACAACCATCATTAAACTTTGAAAAAAGAAAAGATAGAATTTTCCTCATTGTAGTTATATTTGATGCAAAAGCACTAGCAGTTAGATAGCATTAGAACGCAACAATTCCACACTCTATGAATCATGAGTGCTGCTTTAGCTATAAAACATGTACCTGATTGGAACAGCTAGGAGACTTTTCACACCGTTCTGACCAAGTTCCACAAGAACTTCATCGGTGTAGGGCTTCAGCCATTGTACAGGACCAACTCTGCTCTAATCTCCATCCAGCCAGGAAAAAGGGAAAATAAAAGGATTTCAATTTTGTAAGAACAGAATGGTGCAAATATAACACCAAGCAGTAGCCCTCAAATTTTCTTCTTGAAAGAAACGGCGCAGAAGAGCAAAAAAGCTAAAGTTTGACAACCAACCTGGTAAGCGAGAGTATGTTTGTTGTCAATTCCTCTAGTTTTTAGTTCTTGCATAATTAGGTAGATACACTCCTCCATCTGATCTTTGTATGGATCCCCTGCATCCTCAACATAACTGACTGGGACACCGTGGGCACTGAAGAATATCATGACCTAAAATTTCATTTTAAAGAAAAAAAGAATAAGCTCGTTGTGGTAACCAGTGGATAAACATAAATTAATTTCTAAAACTCAACCTCACGTGCTATTGCATTAAGAAACCTTTCAAACCATAATGACAAAATTAAACCCACCTCTGCTGGCTCAGAAAAAGTCTCTAGTTCTTTCGCAATCAAGTCAGCCATTGACTTAATATACCCTTCTCTTTGATACCATGATTTTATAACTGCAACAGGCAGCCTCGACAGATGGGCGTCATTCCTGACAGCAAAGTTTCATTCAGAGAGGTTGGACAGGGTAGAGATGAATCTAAAACACATCCCAAAGAGTTGATAAGGTGAAACAAGACTATCACCTGAATATACTGTTAAGTACACGGATACTTGATCCGGTTGTAGAAATAGAGAATTGAGGATATAGAGGTAGCACAACAAGTCTTGTTATCCTGTCCCTCTTGATCTGTCATAGACAATGACATAAGTCCAAATGATTTAGCTTAATCAGTTAACAAAAAGATCAGAAGCACATAATTAACTACATCAAACAATGTGAAAACCAACAAAATGATTAGCTATTAATGGAGACACACTAGAGACACATGAGAGTCCTCCTATTGAGAGTCCTATTTTCAAAGCAGTTAGCATGACGAAATTTCAAAATCACTACAAAAAAGTAAAACCAGTACCATAAAGAAGTTCATAATGACGGCTTACTGCGTCATAAAAGTTAAAGTACTAACTTGATGAATTGCCTCCTCAGTGAATGGATACCAGTAGCGCATTCCTACATAGACATTTGCAGATATGTTCTTTGATTCCAAAGCCATCTTAAGCGCATGAGCCTGTAAAATAAAAATATATCATATATACTAAATCATATCATGGATGTGGGTAGCACACATAACACCAAATGAAAGACAGAATTCACAATAACTAATGTAGGCACTTGAATATACATGTATGTACCTGCTCGTCTGTAATTTTGCGCAATGGTGAACCACCTCCAATAGCAGCATACCCTTCTTTACTTTTGGGAGCTCGAAGAACAGAAATCAGCTTAGCCAATGGCCTTTGGAGAAACCGAAACAAGCTTGGAAGACGGATAATATCCTATCGCATATAACTCATAAAATGTCATTATGGCTTCAAGTGAATAATTATAAAAACGCTAATGCGCAGTGTCTCATTAACACCAACATACCGGGTCTGCAAAAAGGTTGAACAAAAAAGGCTGAACATCATTAAGCGTCTCGGGGCCTCCAAGATTTAGAAGTAGAACACCAACTTTCTCTTCTACAGCGTGTGAATGAGATTCTACAGCAATCCCGTTATCATAAATGCAAACTCCCGCGGAACAAAATGTTTTCTCTACTGTGTTTCTCTTGTGAAAACACTGCTTAGATAATCCAAGCACGTCTTTTCCCATACTACTTGGGCTAGAACTTGACCGTGCGAGTGGCTGAGGCGTTACATTATCAACTTGTAAATTCTTAGATGAATGGCAAGAGACAGAGGTAGAAGATCTGGTATACGAGCAAGACCTGAAAATGGATGCTTCTTAATTAAATTCTACATGATATCGATTTATTATCATCAACACTAAAACAAGACCATCAACATTAAAAATCAAGCTCAATCATCTCACAGTATAGACAATTACTGCCTCATTTTTTAGCTCTCTATCTAACTAAAGAAGCTAGAAAACATTATTGACCCATTTATCATGAGATTCATATAAAATTCATCACATGGTACTCTTGATCATCAAAGAGCAGATCATTTAAAATCTAATGCGTTTCAAATTAAAATTAAAAAAACGCAAAACAAACATTGGTCATCTGTCATTTCTTAAACGGATTTTTCCACGGCACGTAAACTCGAGGGACTTACGTCGAAAATACATGATCTGAATTTCGTAGATTCAAACCGCCGAGCTTCGTCTTGCAAAGAACCCCGGAGCACGACGCAACATCCATGGCTTCCAAAATTTCGCAGATATTACCTCAAAACCCTAGAAACTCTATTCTGAATCTTCGCGAAAGAGATAGCGTGAGAGAAAAGCAAGAAATGGAATCGTACTCTCCCGAATTTGGTAAAGAGAAATGGAAACAAAGGAGGGGTTAGTTGAAACTTTCAAAACCAATAATGAACAATCAATAATACCAAAAAAAAGGGGGGCGGGGGGGTCAAATTTGGAGAATCCTTCAGTACTATACCAACTCTGTTTTTATTTTCTCTCTCTTCCTCTCTCTACGTTTTAAAAGACGCAAGTTAAATCAGAACTTGTTCGGAACCAGCTTGAGGTGTCAATCAGCACGGCACGTCCCACACCATGCCCTCTACGGGCTTGCGCCGGGCTTGAGGAAAGACCTTCAGGCCCGGTTTTAACCCAAACTCTCGTCCATAAAAATTAAGGTTGGGTCCGGACTCAGGTCTTTCGTTGGCCGGTCCTAGCCATTTTAATTTTTTAAATTTAACTTCTATTAGCTTAATTGTGAGTCCAAAAAGTTTAATATTCCTATAATAAAAAAATATTTTTGAAATATTAAATAGTTAATGCAAAGTTAGATGCGCAATAGGATAATAAACACCAGAAAGTAATTTAGCTGCGTTGTAGAATACTTCTAACAATTTAAAAAAATACTCACCAATCTTTCAATCTGTATCGAAAATTAAATGCTCAAGATGCTTATTGTTCACGTACGTAGTGATGATTTGTTGATACGTTATTGCAGTCTTCAACATTAAGTAGGTGGAGTTCTACCTATGTCTCACATAAGTTGAAAACTTTCTTGGGCGCATTTGGTTGTTGTTGAAATTCTTGGAGCCGAGCTCCAGAACTTAATATGAAGGATAAAGGCTTAGTTTGGTATTACTGTAGATTTTGAAAGAATTACTTTTAGCTGTGCTGAAAGAAAAGACAGCTGTTACAAAAACAACTAAATGTTTAGTAAACTATAATTATAGTTGTTGTGATGGTTTCAAAATCAATATAATAGCGTTTGGTAAATTATGAGGTTTAATTGCTGTAGATAGTTAAAAATTACGACTATATTATATTATACTATAATATACTACATATAATTACAATATAATATATAATTATTATTGTATTATATTAAACAAATATATTATAATTAATATATTATATAATTATGATATAAAATATAATAATATTATTAAAATAGTTAATATAATTACAATATAATATATAATTATTATTGTATTATATTAAACAAATATATTATAATTAATATATTATATAATTATGATATAAAATATAATAATATTATTAAAATAGTTAATATAATTACAATATAATATATAATTATTATTGTATTATATTAAACAAATATATTATAATTAATATATTATATAATCATAACGTGTGTAATACACTATAATAGATAATAACATTAAAATTATGAGATTATATTAATATTTAATTGTATTAATTATTATATTATTATTGATATAATATATATAATTATATCAATACTATATAATATTATTATAATATTATTATAAAATAAAAATTATAATATCATATTATTAAATCATTATAATGTTATATTATATGATAAAATAATAATATTAGAGTTATTAATATAATTATGATATTATTTGTTACGATAGTATTATTACATTATATTATATTATATTACATTATATTACTAGTCTGAATTTTAGATTGAGAAGATTATAAATTTTAAATTTCATTAGAGATATTATGAAAGTTTCACTAATTGTACTATGCTAATTCCCGCACAATCTAAAAGCTAAAGTTGTCTTTGAGCTGCTTCTGATTTTGACTATAGATTCTTCAAAAGGTACTTTTGAAGAGATTTACCAAACACTAAAATCAACTTTTGCTACAAATAGAAGCTAATTTTAGAAGCGAAAAGCAATACCAAACTAAGCCAAAGATTCTCTAATATTTATTAGATGAAAGGAAATATGTTCAATTCTTGCTTGTACTACTAAATTTATTATGTGACACACACACCATTGATGAAAAATTTCACCACCAAAAGGTGGTTTCAAATAAAGTTTAAATGTGTTAATTGCAGCTGTATTAGCTGACACATTATCAAAAGTAATTGTTAAAACTTTATCTTCTATCCCATAAAAATTAAAAATTTCCATTATAGTTGAAAAAATAGCAATTGAATTATGAGGAAATGGACATAAATGAAAACCTATTATTCTCTTTTGTTAAACCCATTCCTCATGAACATAATGTGTCGCGATGCATAAATATTCAATTTTATTGCACCCCTCTCAAATATCAGAAGTACAAGACATTGTAGCATTAAAAGACCTAAAATTATCAACTAGAGATTGTCTCATTGCATAAAAACCTTGCATGCAATCAGATCGAGTTATGTTTCTACTTACCCGCTTAAATTGTGGGCAAAAGGCCGTCTGTATGAATTCTTCAAACACTGCATCATCTGCAAGAGACAAAGGTAATTCAGCACCAGCTAAAAATTTAGCTAGTGCCTCACGAGCACGTTGTGCATCATATGTAAAATTTATAACTCTTGTGATGTGAGTGACAATGTTTGTTGTCCACACTACCACCTTGGTGCAACGGTAGACATGCTTTTCAATGTCTATCAAGATGGCCAGTACCCCCACCATTTTTATTAGAATAGTGTTTTTTACAATATTTATACCTCACGAATTTCCATTTCACCTGTTTTTAGATTTGGTCGGGCTCCTCTGTGAAATGTTGTCACACGAGAGCAGTTCGCTGTCTTTTTTCCCTATCATGTTCTACAACTTCCTCGTTGTGCACCAATTAATTATCAACCGGAACAGTTTCCGTTTCAGTGGGGTTGGAGTTGTGCATAAACATTTCATCCTCGTAAAATGGTTCATCACCAAACTCAGGAAGCTCAAGGAAATAAGAGAAATTTGATACGGCCATTTTCTTAAAAAAAAAAAAAACATGAACTAATGTTAATTCATTCATTTATAAACAATAAACAATATAAATAAACTCGAGTAATATAATATTATGTAACAAAATTAATAAGTAGAATACATTTTTTCTGAGATTTCTTCAAATTGATTGAAATTTGTAAATGAAAGAGCTAGAAAATGAGGAATCGAGAGAGAAAAGCTAAGAATCAATATCAAAGAGACAAGATGAGAGATAGAATGAGAGTGAGATGAGGAGTTGATAGTGAATTGTTGTGGTGAATGTTGTGTGGGATTTAGGGGTATTTATAAAGTTTTTTTTTGTTGAATTTCTGCAATGTGATCATTGGGCCCATCGCGTGCCCAACGGTCGGCTTGTCACAGGCCTGAGACATGCCTGGCAGACCGAATCATGGGCTAAACACGGGCTTGGGCCGAATCAAGGCTTGGGCCGAATCAGGGCTTAGGCCGAATCAGGGCTTGGACCGAATCAAGGCTTGGTACGGGTGGCAATTCGGGTTAGCAGGTCGTGTTCGTGTCATGTTGACCCTCTAAGTTGACACGAATAGGTCTAACACGAACACGACCCGTTTATTAATCGTGTTGAAATACAAAACCCAAACACGACCTGTATATTGGCGGGTTGACACGACATGACACGAATAACCCGTTTATTAAATAGGTCATAAATGTGTCCTGTCAACTCGTTGATTACCTGTCAACCCATTTATAAAATGGGTGATAAATGAGTCGTGTTAAACTATTTATGAACCTGTTTATAAAAGAGGTGATAAATGGGTCGTGTTAACCTATTTTTGAATCTATTTTTGAACCTGTTTATATAATAGGTAATAAACGGGTTGTGTATTCGTGTTACCCAAATATGACACGTTTAATAAACAGGTTATGGCGGGTTAACCTAAAAATGACACGTTATTTAATCGTGTTTCATAGGTTCGACCTGATTTTGACCTATACCTATTTATGATAAACCCAAACCCGTTAATTTCGTGCGGGTTTCGAGTCGTGTCGTCGTATCACTACTCGGATTGCCAATCCTAGGGCTTGGGCCGAACACGGACTTGAGCCGAATCATGGCCTTAACGGGCTAGGGCCTGGGCCGCGAGCTGGGAAGCCGAGGCCTAACCTTAATACGTCTAACGTGTCAGGCCGGCACGGCCCATAACAATACAGGTTCGGATCGTGCCGAACCTAACATTGTTGCGGGACGACCCGGTCCATTTGACATGTCTAGAACCAGCCATGGTGGTGGCGAGTTGTCTATGTGACAAACGTGTTTTTTAAGTTCTTCGCGGAAGTTGGGTTTGCGGTCTAACCAAAACCCAAAACCTAAACACAAATGGGCCATGTTCGGCCCAAGCCAGTAACTGACGCCCAATAACATTTCGGCCCGTACTGTTTAGTCGTACCAGTATTAGGGTTTTCAGAAGCAGCTATAAAATGGTGGCTTCACTCTCCATGAGCGTCATTCGTCAATATCGTCGTTCTCTGGTACCCTCTTTCGCTTTGCTCATCTTTTTTGTTGGGTTGTTCTTTTATTAATCTCATATTGGAATTTAGGAGTTTGAAATGAATTATGAGTCTTTGTTCTTTCGCTGCTGATTTATGCGATTGGTCTTTCTCTTTTCTTTTTTTTTTTTTTTTCTTTTTTCTCGAATATTTTAATTTTTTCAAGTTTCAAGTGTTGGTTAAATTGGGCACTTAAGTCAGACACGGGTGTTTGTTGATGAAAGCAATAACAATCAACCTTTTGCACGGTGCCGATAAAGAGCTACTGATCACGATTGGGGGGGGGGCTGCTATTTCTCCACGGTTCCCTTCAAATTTAAAGCAGCTAAATTCCAATTCAATGTATATAAATTTCATGCGTTTTTGCAATTCAAGATTATGGTTTTCGGCTAAAAATTGTTTTGAGGATTGTGGAAGAATTGAGATCTGGAATTGATTAAAGGCTCCATTATACGAGTCAACAGCGAGTGCCTAGTCCATGGTGCCTTGTCTGCCGCTTGGAGCCTAAATTAACTTTGCCGGTTGAAGATAGCGTGGAATGCCTCTCGTTTCATGCTACAAATTCTGGCTATATATATATATATATATTAATAAAAGTCTAAATTTTTCATGTTGTTGAATAAAATATAATACTTGGAATAATCATTAGGTTCATTTGGCATACGAAAAATTAAATACATTAATTGAAATCGGATGCTAATAGCGCACTATTCCTGAAAGAACTACATACAAACACAAGTGCCGTAAGGAGCCAACCGGGAAGGTTTAAGCCAAGGAATCGGCTTTCTAGCAAAATGACAACACAATTCGAAAACGATACGAATTTTACGATACGAATTTTATGGGTTAAGGTTGAGAAAAAAGATATTTGAGTCAGAATTAAGCCGATCTGAAATTGACACGAAAAGTACGGGTCAATTTCGGGTTGGACCCGTCTAATTGAACACGACACGAAACTCATAAAAAATTAAAAAAATACATATATTTTTTATTACATATTTTTTATTTTATTATGAATTTGTGATATCATGATAGTTATACTCAAAATCTTATACTATTATTTACTTAATTTCAATGAATGTTATTGTATTTTATTGTGTTATGAATTTTAAGTTATTTTTAATATATAGAAAACTAAATAAAAATCAATTTCGGGTTCACGGGTCAATTTCGTGTCACGGGTCATTTTCGTGTCGTGTCGTATCAACCTGTAAAGTAATTGTGTCGTGTTCGTGTTGCGGTTTTTAAAATTTATTGACGTTTGGTTCATTGATTAGAACCATTTTCAATTTACGTGTATTTTTTGTGAGAGAAAATACTGTAGCGAATCACGTACCATGATTCGAATCAAAGAACGAATCTAGGTACCAAATATTCTCGTGTCACGGGTCGTGTTTAGGTTGACTGTAAATTTAAAAAGAAATATACGTGACACGAATTGTCATCCATAAATCAAATGTAAATGAGAGATATAATAATAAAACTATAGTGCTTGGGCACGGCTATGCTCCTGTATCTGTATTAACTAAGATTTGGCAACGTTTGATGTAAGATAATTTGAACGAGATTGATACGGCAATGAGTTTGATATTTGATAACAGAAAAAGAAAAGGAAGCGCAAGTAAATTGGTATGAGAAGCTTTCTTTTAATGTTTCTGAAAGTCTCGTTATCAAATCAAAATAAATACACACACCACGTTAAACTCTGGATAGTCTCGGGACTTTTTTCTCTATAATTAGTTCATATATTCAATTTTTCTTATAAACATATCCCTCTATTAAATTTAGATGAAAATTTTTAATTTTGTCTCATAAAAAGTCTCTACATTATTCTCTCTTTAAAAATACTTTTTATGTTAAAGAGAAATAATAAGTATAATAGAAATTAAAATTGCAAATCTTTCTCAAAACTTTAAAACCAAAAAAAAAAAAAATGTATTTTTTTCCTAAGATCTAGAGAAAAAAAATATATAAAAAACTCAGATTTTTCAAATCCCCACCATCTCAAGATTTTTTTTTTTTTTCAAATCTGTCAACTCTCCACTAGCCCTGTGTTCGTCGGCCTCTCCCCCTGCCATATGCTCATCACCTCTGTTGCTTCCCTTCCGTACTTTTGTCGCGCACACTCGACCCATCACCGCCGCTCCTTACCTCTCCAGCCTCATTCTACTCTGATGAGGCTTTTAGATTCGAACTCAAGAGGGTTTTGCATTTTGAAATAGCACTTTTCGGCTTCATTGACGGTGGTTCCCAGTGCTCAAGGCTTGGACACTTGTTGTAGATCTGGACTTGCCTTTGTTGCTCTCTGAATATTTTGTGTTTTTACACCAAGAAAAAATTTATGTGTTGTTGAACTTTTAAATTTAATTTCTTTAAATTTATATTTTTAGTGGGGAAGATGACGACATGTAATGTTTTTCTTTTGAGATTTTTTTTATTTGAATTTTTTAGTTTTTTTTTGTTATTTTTCTGACTTCATAATTTTTAAGATAATATGTTTTTTTTTTTTTTTTTTTAATTTAGGGATTCAATTGAGTAGAGAAAAGTTAGTTTAATGACCTTTTATAAGATAAAGTTAACGATTTTTATTTAAAATTTAACAGAGTCATCATTTATAAGAGACTTTAAGTTCAGGAATTGTTTATGAGAAAAATTGACTACAGAAACTAATGGTAAAAAGAGAACAAAATTCAGGCACAAATTTAACTCTTCTATGACATAACCTTGCAAACCCACCACCAGTTCTCACCAGTCACAACACATCTCAATCCTACACATGTTCAGTTTAAAGCGAGAATGATCTGATTCTATCAATAAGACCAGGACTTGTAAACTCGAGAGTTTTATTTGAAACTAATGGTTATAGTTTAATTCTTCATAAGAAAAATTGACTACAGAAGCTAATGGTAAAATGAGAAAAAAAAAATTCAGGCACGAATTTAACTCTTCTATGACATAACCTTTGCAAACCCACCACCAGTTCTCACCAGTCAACATATCTCAATCCTACAAATGTTCAGTTTAAAGCGAGAATGATCTGATTCTATCAATAAGACCAGGACTTGTAAAATCGAAAGTTTTATTTGAAAAAAAAAATCTATACCCTTTTTTCCTTTTCTCAATGAAAAATCACACCTGAAGACAATTCAAACGTTAAACTTCTGCATTTGCAACTCACAATACTACATTCGATAAAACGACACGAAATTCTCAACAAACAATACTCGTAATACATAAATAATCAAAACGATTCGGGTTTATGGAAAAAGTTTATCTGCTTGGAAAAAAGAAACTCTTGCACTCGGTTGATCATTTATCAACAACAAAATTACAAAAATTCCCCGGACCAGAGAGACAAAATTGTAATGAAATTTTATGTCAAGTAATATGCTTCGAAAAGAGAAACTCTCTTGCTCTCAGTTGATCGTTTAACTATCAATAATCAATAAAATCACAACTTTGGGCTACAAACAAATAAAGTACAAGTAAGCTCCCGAAATTCTGCAAGTCCCGTCAATCAGAAGCAACAAGAACAATCAAACGGACAAAGTGGAGTACCTCCAGCATCGGATTTACTGATACCCAATTCCTCCTCCGTGTACATAGTAAGTCCATCTGCGGTTTTCTTTCTTGGCTTGGAAGACGAGTCTCCAAAAACACCATCGTCGTCGCGCTTATTATCCTCCTTCTTCTTTTTCTTCACCTTTTTCGGCTTCGCAATCGCAGTCGCGTTCTCCTGGTTGAGTTTCTTTCGCTTTTTCCCAGCAAAGATCTCATCAATCTCACTACCGAGCTTCTTCGTTGAAGACTTTTTTTCCTCTTTCGCAACGGTTTCTTCCTGTACTGACTTGGGAGAAGTTTTAGATTCGTCCTTCTTCGTCATTGTTTGGTGACTGAGGGCGAGGAAGAAGCGGCGGCGCAGCGCCGGGCGTCGCTGGGTCTCGGCTACGAGGGCGGCGGCGAAAGAAGAGTTCGAATGAGAAAATAAAGGAGGTTTCAAATTAGGGCATTTTAAAGCGAATTGAGGGATTAAAACGTTTTTCTTCTAGAATTGTCATGACGTCTTTCCAAATTCCAATAAATAAAACGAAATATCGTTTGGGTTTGACGTGCCAAAATTGAAATTGGTAATAATTCCGGGACACAGAATAATTCTCCAAAAAAAAAAAAAAAAGGCAAATGGTACAAAGATATTACTTATTAGTATAACGACATATCGTTTTGAGTTCAACGTGTCGAAATTGAAATTGGTAATAATTCCGGGGCACGGAATAATTCTCCAAAAAAAAAAAAAAGTAAAATAGTACAAAGATGTTACCCGTCAGTACTTTTCTTTTTCTTTTCTCTCATTCCTCTACTTCTAATTCCTTCGTGTTGATTGCGGTGGAGATGGCTTGCTTACATGATCACAGTTGCGAAGATCACGATTGTTCCTCTGATTGGTCTCTCTACAAGCACATCGACCTTCCAAAGGTCCTCTTCTTCACTTTTCTCTTCCCTTTTGTTTTTTTTTTTTTTTAATTTTCCAATATATCCAATCCGCTTGTGATTTTGCTTCACAACGAAACACTAATTCATGTTGTGATTATGTTATTTAATTGGCAGATTGGTATTGACCCAGTATTGCTATGTCGTAAAAACTACTCGGGAAATGTTTAATTTCTTTACATATTGTGTTCCTAAGGCCAACTAGATTCATTTTTGTTTAATTGGTCTCCACATTTTTCACCCCTTTCATTTTTTTTTTAATTATGATTAGGTATCTGCTTTAAATGAGGCTGTTCCAGGAAGTGTCAAGTCAGTCTTCAAAGCTTGGGAGCAACGATTGAATTCTTCTGGGGTAGTTTGCTCATTCACTTCTTTTTATTCTCTGCCCTCTTCAAATTAATCCATTTACTCTACCTGAATCACATCATGTTTAAATAGTACGGACATTGGAATTGAGAGACATAAACCTTATTTTGCTTATTTAGAATAATACCAATTGGCTAAGCTCCATGCTTTATGCCTTTTTCATATTGCGTGTGTTTACAGAATAAGTATCTGCTAGCGTTCAGTTGTGTTTAAAAGCTTTTTGTTTCCTCTACTTGTCTAAACACCACAAGTTATACTTTGTAGCCCTGAGGCTGAAGCGACATTACTTGTAAATTCTTTGTTAAAAGTAGTTGAAAATGAGTCCGAGCATGCTTTTTTATTAATCTTTGGTTATTTGTGGTCTAGAGATTTTTTGTTGCTGCCTAAGACTGCTTGGTCTAGTGGCACCAGGGGGTTTGGGTGGGATCGGGTATGGGGGAAGTTGCGGGTTCAATCCTGTGTTGTGTGTGTGTGTGTGTGTGTAAGTGAGAGAATCTTTGTTGCTAGGCATGTTAACTGTAAGTTAATCCTCTTTTATGCAACAGGAGCACTTGGAAAGCAATGATGGTGATCCCGAGCTACTTGTTTTCATTCCGTAAGTGCTATTTTCTTCACAACACTTTTTGTTTTTGAACGGCACTGCAGCAGGACCACCCCAACATTCACCTTTAAAGGTCTTACTACCCTGAGGTTTCTGAAATATAGAGTTCTTGCCCCTCTTGGGTTTTGATCCAAAAGTAATTTGTGCTTTACCATATTCGCGGGACATTTTTTCTTTGGCTGGGCTTTCTTAGTCTGTTTCTGTTGTGTTAACCGTTAACTGGGATCCCCCACTGGTTCTTTGTGGTGATAGGTTTACTTCAGATGTTAAGATCAAGAGCATAGCAATTATTGGTGGTGCTGATGGAACAAGTCCTTCAAAGATGAGAGCGTAAGTTAAAAAACCTTAAGTTTCCTCATGATAAGCCGTGCAGGCTTGCTGCTTATAATGTTTCGTTAAAATCATGTGGCAAGCAGCTTTGGCAAGTCTCTTGAAGGTAGAAAAATTATCTTTAACAAGATTTTTGCATCGTGTGATAGTTTTAACAAAAAAAAAAAAAGTTTATATAACCTTTCAAACTGAAAGTGAATTTGGTTTTTTTTTTAAAAAAAATAAAAACTATTTTACTTTCTTATTGTCTGTATATTATTGTTCATTCCTGTTCTTATGTCGTCTTAGAAGAAAACTCTCACAATCGTGTTGTCTAAACTAGGTTCATAAACCGAGATGGCATCGATTTTTCGGATGCTCAAAGTATGCAAGCCGTTCAGGTATTTTCTGAATCTCTAGTTTGTCATAGAGAGGGTTGAAGCTTTACAACATTTCAACTTATTTGAAACATTTTCTCACCTTGTTTAAGGAATGGGAGTTGGTTGAAAATTTCCAAGGAGTCTTGGAGTTCCAGACAAGGTAAATATTCCCCTCTCTTGATAAACCATGTTGTGAAACATAATATTTCAACTGATTTCTATTGAAACAAGGAAGTCGTCCTTTCCTTTTCTTTGTTTTGTTTTGTTTTGTTTTGTTTTTTTGTTTCCTTTCCCTCCTACATGAAGATTAATTTCTAAGTAATGGTGTACTTAAATTAACATTCTGAAATATAGTTCTGCTACATTTGAGTTTTATTTTCTTGTCACTTGTATTCTCTCTAATATTCCGTTTAACCGTTTATTAGATATTCGAAATTTCAAAGTGTGGCCAGTATCACATTACATTTTCCTGAGAATTTTGGTGCTGATTCAACTAAGATTCACTATATTGGCTTTAAAGGTGAAGCTACGCAGGTAAATTCATTTCCAACAACAGATGTATTGTTGTTTACGTTAGTGCTGCAATAATTGACATTGTATTTGCTATAAACAGTTGAAGAGGGATGTTGTTGCGACAATTGTTTACGAAATCACGCCAAATCCTTCTGATCACAAGTAAGTCTTCATTCCCCTTGAACATAAATATTCTTTTTTCAACGATGGTTATTCTTAAATGTAGCTTCCACTGATCTAAATACAGGACATCCATGTCTGCTGTAAAACCTTTTTTATTTTTTATTTTTTCCGTCGATGTCAGTGTTGTTGTGAATGTGGAGACGTGCGCCTTTTGACTAATGATTTTTGTAAATCATGGATCTTTACTTATCAGTGAATTTCATATATGATGAAATAATCTCCTCTTGTCTTATGTCGTGTGAAGTTCATTCTTCAAATTCTCTGTTCTATTCCCAAGAGCCTTGTTTGTTTTGCCGGTTTGCCTTTGTGAATATTTTATTTGCTTGTTTTTTTGCATTTTTTTTCTTTTCAGGACGCGGGCTGAAGGTAGTGGGGGTCTTTCACATGTGGAATGAGGTATGCTAATGGAGGATCGAATTGCTACTGCATGTTGGTAATATTACAAAAACATCTAGTAACTGAAGTCATTTCTGATTTCACTTCATGCTGAAAGTTTGTGATAATGACCGTGGTTAGCTTACAGAGGTCTGCTTATGTTTTGGATTCCCTTTTTTTTTTTGGTTGGAGGGAGAATCCTTCTGAAATCAATGCACTAACAAGTATCAATTCCTGTATACCGCCGAAGGAATCTACCAGTACCCATTATGCTGGTTAATAATCTTTTTTTCCTTTTAACACTTTGTTATTATGCTAAATGAGTAAATGGTATTCATATAGACATACATGTAACGCCCATATGTGTAAATATATATATATATATATATATATTTACAACATTCTTTAGATGCCGTTTTTAAGGAAAAATAACATGCTTTTTGTTGGCTTTGAAAAAACGACACGCCGTATCTTTTCTTTTCTTTTTTTTTTTTCTGAAAAACAAAATGACAACTCATTCTTACTTTCCTTTTTCTTTGTTTTTTTGAACGAACTTTTCTTTTTCTCTTTCGAGGGTAATTTCCTCTCTGGGGGAAGTGAAACGCATATCATTTATTTTTATTGGGCGACACGATGCGTCTTTTCTTATAGATGTCGTTTGATCTTTTAAGTGTATTGACATCTTGATTTGGGATGTCGTTTGATCTTTTAAGTGTATTGACATCTTGATTTGGGTCGTGAAACGACATAGTGCTATTGGCACTGTCTTTTGGGCTTGGTCCGACCTAAACTCTAGAGCTGGAAATGTTAACGGGAACGACATGCGGGTTTCCCCTTGGAACGATAGCATGCGTCGTTCGTATCTTTTGGCGCGTTGGATTTCAGAGAAAAACAAGACCTTTTTTGTCTTGTTCTTCAGATGAAACGACAGGTCGTTCAATCATAAATATAACCCGTGTCGTTTTCTCGTTTTCTCGTTGAGTACAAAGGTGAACGAGAGTTATTTTTGAAAATTTTAAAAATTAAATTATCAGAATATATTTAAGAATGAAAGTTTTCTTTTTTTTTTTTACTTGAATTTAAGAATGAATGTTTTTGCCCATGTTAACGTCTCTCTTAAAAAAAAAAAGTTAACGCGTCGTATCTCAAAACGACAACGTTCACGTCATTTTTTTTTCAATTCTGAGACCGTCAACGAATTTAATTCACCAGTAGGGTTGTTAAAAAAAACCGTGAAACCGACTGCTAGCTGACCTAAGAACCGACTGAAGAAAATCGATCAGAAGTGAAACCGACTGTCGGCAGTCAGTTAACCGACTGACCACCATACATGGGTGGTCGGTTGTCAGTTCCGGTGGCCGAGGTCGTCGGTGTAACCGAACCAACCTACCACTATTACACACTTTAAAAAAAAATCATCCGACTAACCACTGTTACACACTCAAAAAAAAGGAGTTTGAAACCTACAACGTAGAGGGTAGAAAACATCGACTAACCACATTGTCTTCATTGGTATCTCAAAAGTTAACGTGTCGTATCTCAAAATGACACCGTTCACATAATCCTTTTTCTTCAATTCTGAGACTGTCAACGAGCTTAATTCACTAGTAAGGCTGTTTAAAAAAACAACGAAATCGACACCGACCGCTAGCCGACCTAAGAACCTATTGAAGAAAATCGATCGGAAGCGAAAGCGGCTGTCAGTGATCAGATAACCGGCCGACCACCACACATGGGCAGTCAGTTGTCAGTTCTGGTGATCGAGGTCATCGGTGAAACCGAATCGACCATGATTACACACTTAAAAAAAAGCAACCGATTGACCACTGTTACACACTTAAAAAAAAGAGTTTTATGCATGTGAAAGTTCGAACCTACAACCTAAAAGGTAGAAGAGCATCAACTAACCATTGAACTACATGTCCTCATTGGTATCTCAAAATAACACCGTTCACGTCATCCCTTTCCCTTAATTCTGAGATTGAAAAACGGGCTTAATTCACTAGTAAGGTTGTTCAAAAAAACTACAAAACCGACACCGGCCGCTAGCTGACCTAAGAACCGACTGAAGAAAATCGATCGGAAGCGAAACCGATTGTCGACGGTCAGTTAACCAACCGACCACCACACATGGGCGGTCGGTTGTCAGTTCCGATGGCTGAGGTCGTCGGTGAAACCGAACCGACCAACCACTATTAAACACTTTAAAAAAATAATCGACTGACCATTGTTACACACTTAAAAAAATGAGTTTTAGTTTCGAACCTACAACCTAGAGGGTAGAAGGGCATCTACTAACCACTGAACGACATTGTCATCATTGGTATCTCAAAAGTTAATGTGTCGTATCTCAAAATGACACCGTTCACGTTATCCATTTTTCTCAATTATGAGACTGACAAACGAGCTTAATTCACTAGTAGGGTTGTTAAAAAACCGTGAAATCGACACTGACTGCTAGCCGACCTAAGAACTGACTGAAGAAAATTGATCGAAATCGAAACTGACTGTCAGCGGTCAGTTAACCGACCGACCACAGTTATTTTTGAAACTTTTAAAAATTAAATTATTAGAATATATTTAAGAATGAAAGTCTTTTTTTTTTTTTTTTTACTTTAATTTTAGAATGAAAGTATTGCCAATGTTAACGTGTCTCTCTAAAAAAAAAAGTTAACGTGTCGTATCTCAAAACTGCACCGTTCAAGTCATCTAGTTTCCTTAATTCTGAGATTGTCAACGAGTTTAATTCACTAGTAGGGCTGTTCAAAAAAATTGAGAAACCGACTGCTAGCTGACCTAAGAATCGACTGAAGAAAACTGATCGGAAGCAAAACCGACAGTCAGCGATCAGTTAACCGAGCGTCCACCACACATGGGCGGTCGGTTACCAGTTTTGGTGCCCAAGGTCGTCGGTGAAACCGAACCGACCAACCACTATTATACACTTTAAAAAAAATAGTCGTTTGACCACTGTTACACACTTAAAAAATGAGTTTTATACAGGTGAATGTTCGAACGAATAACCTAGAGGGTAGAAAAGCATCAACTAACCACTAAACTGTATTGTCCTCATTGGTACCTCAAAAGTTAATATTTCGTATCTCAAAAGGACACCGTTCACGTCATCTATTTCCTTCAATTCTGAGATTGTGAACGAGCTTAATTCACTAGTAGGGCTGTTCAAAAAAACTGCGAAACTAACACCAACCGCTAGCCGACCTAAGAACCAGCTGAGGAAAACCATCAGAAGCGAAACCGACAGTCGGCGGTTAGTTAACCGACCGACCACCACACATGGGCGTTCGGTTGTCAGTTCCGATGGCCGAGGTCGTCGGTGAAACCAAACCGGCCGACCACTATTAGACACTTAAAAAAAAGCAATCGACACTGACCATTAGCCGACCTAAGAACTGACTGAAGAAAACCAATCAGAAGCGAAACCGACTGTCAGCGGTCTGTTAACCGACCGACCATAGTTATCTTTAAAAATTAAATAATTTGAATATATTTAAGAATGATTTTTTTTACTTTAATTTAAGAATGAAAGTATTGCCAATGTTAACGTGTCTCTCTAAAAAAAAAAAAAAAGTTAACGCGTCGTATCTTAAAACGACACCATTCACGTCATCTCTTTTCTTCAATTTTGAGACTGTTAACGAGTGTAATTCACTTGTAGGGCTGTTCAGAAAAACTGCAAAACTGACACCGACCACTAGTTGACCTAAGAATAGGCTGAAGAAAACAGATCGAAAGTGAAACTGACTGTCGATGGTCAGTTAACCAACCGGCCACCACACATGGGCAGTCAGTTGTCAGTTCCGGTGGCCGAGGTCATTGTTGAAACAATCGTCTGACCATTGTTACGCACTAAAAAAAAATAGTTTTATGTAGGTAAAGGTTCGAACATACAACCTAGAAGGTAGAAGAGCATCAACTAACCACTAAACCACATTGTCCTCATTGATATCTTAAAAGTTAACGTGTCGTATCTCAAAAAGATACCGTTCACGTCATCCATATCCCTTAATTCTAAGACTGTCAATGAACTTAATTCACTAGTAAGGCTCTTCAAAAAATTGTAAAACTGACAATGACCGGTAGCGGACCTAAGAACCGACTAAAGGAAATAGATCATAAGCGAAACTGACTTTTTGACAGTTAGTTAACCGACCGACCACCACACATGGGCAGTCTGTTGTCAGTTTCGATGGCTGAGCTCGTCGGTGAAACTAAATCGACTGACCACTATTACACACTTAAAAAAACCGACCAACCACTATTGCACACTTAAAAAAAACAACCAACTGACCACTAATACACACTTATAAAAAAAAGCAACTGACTCACCAATGTTGCACACTTAAAAAAAATAGTTTTATGCGGGTGATGGTTCAAACCTACAACCCAGAGGGTAGAAGAACATCGACTAACCACAGTGTCCTCATTAATATCTCAAAAGTTAACGTGTCGTATCTCAAAATGACACCATTCACGTCATCCATTTCCCTAAACTCTGAGACTTTCAAGGAGCTTAATTCACTAGTAGGGCTCTTCAAAAAAACCGTTAAATCGACATTTACCGCTAGTCGATCTAAGAATAGACTAAAGAAAATCGATCAGAAGCGAAACCGACTGTTGGCGGTTAGTTAACCGACCGACCACCACACATGGGCAGTATGTTGTCAGTTTCAGTGGCCGAGATCGTCGGTGAAACCAAACCAACCGACCACTATTACACACTTAAAAAAACAACCGACCGACCACTATTAGACACTTAGAAAAAAAAAAGAACTGATTGACCACTGTTACACACTTAAAAAAAAGAGTTTAATGCATGTGAAGGTTCGAACCTACAACCTAGAGGGTAGAAGAAAATTGACTAACTACATTGTCGTCATTGGTATCTAAAAAGTTAACATGTCGTATCTTAAAACAACATCATTCACGTCATCCCTTTCCCTCAATTTTGAGACTGTCAACGAGCTTAATTCACTAGTAGGGTTTTTCAATAAAATCGTGAAACCGACACCAACCTAAGAATCGATTAATGAAAACCAATCGGAAGCGAATCCGACTGTCAAAAGTCTGTTACCCTACTGATCACCACACATGAGCGGTTTGTTGTCAATTCCGGTGGCTGAGGTTGTCGGTGAAACCAGACTGACCGACCACTATTACACACTTAAAAAAAGGAGTTTCATGCACGTGAAGGTTCGAACCTGCAACCTAGAAGGTAGAAGAAAATTGACTAACCACATTGTTCTCATTGGTATCTAAAAAGTTAACGTGTCGTATCTCAAAATGACACCATTCACATCATCCCTTTCCCTCAATTTTGAGACTATCA